TATCGTTAGGTAAATACAATTGCTTACAATTAATTATTAATTTTCATTTATTGAATCAAAAAATGAATGAATATAAGAAACTTCAACAGAAGTTACCAAAAAAAACCCCGAAAAGATAGTTTTTTTTAAAATGTCAAATAATTACGTAAATCGAGGAAATTATTAAATATGTTATAACTCTAAACACTATAGAGTTGGTAGAGCTATAGTTTGTTACCAAAAAAACTGTATCTATGTATTTTAAAGATATCTAATTTAGACCATATAAACTTTTCTTAGTTACATTGTTTTATAGCCTCTTTGCTAAATTTTTATAAAATTTTCCAAATCAACACTTAGGATATATATTCTAGGGCAACAAATATACTTTTCAAAATAACAGATGAACGTTTGTGAGAGTTTTTAGCCAACTAAGATTATTACTAGTAATGACTTATTTTAACGTTTAAAATGAGGAAAAATTTTATTATGGCCGATTTCACCAACCTAAGTTTAAGGGATCCCCTGAGCATGTTTAGGGGGCTGTTAGGGGGCAGTTTCTGTTTCACCGACAGTTAGGGATCACCTGAATGTTAAAATGCCACCTAAATATAGGTACTAGAAATACGGGCTCTGACGATGATAAAACGACATTTAATTTAGGGGCTAGTTTGGGGTAACTTTTAAGCTAGGGATCCCATAGGTAGGTGGTAGCTTATGGGATATTGGTAAAATCGGACATTAGAGTGCCGAAAGTACTACATAGACTCATGATAATGAAATACATAAGGTAAAGTCTATGCACGCGATGTTGCCAGACAGAGTAATTAAAACGTAAAACAAAAAAAAATATGAGATTTAAACAAGACGACATTCTACGATCGCCATCGCTAATAGAAAAGAAATTTATTGAATTGACATTAAGTCACGTGGTCAGAAAATGTCAATCTCATTTTTTTTTTAATTTTTCTATGCGACACTAGCGAAGTAAATTCTGCCCCAACAGGAGACCTTTACACAAAAGATTTAAATTGTTTTTTTAATTTTATATTAGCGATATCTATTGTAGAAAGTAAACAAGTCTAAGGCCATATTGTAATTCCTGAATTAAATTGTTCAAGGCAGAAATTCCACATAATCGGTCTTTCGACCTTGGACTGTCTTCGACGCACGCGAACAGACAGCGGTAAACACTTTATATTAAAATTAAAAAAATATATATTAAATTATTGCATTTTTATGATAAAAACGTAAAATCGTGCCAAGTCTCGCTAGACGTTTGTCACTTCATCTTGATTTGGGAACATTAATATGATATTATAATTTAGACATAAGTATTTTTGTTATAAACACGAACACTCGTCTTAAACTATTTACGTGGTTTCATTGAAACTCATAAATTTAATTCTATTAGACTTGATTAGTTTGTGTTGTTTCATGTATAGTGTGTGCGTAATAAAATATTTCTCTCATTTTCCATAATATATTTGTTTAATATTTATATATTGGGAAATCAATCTTTAATAGATTTAGGTACTTTCCATATTATATTAGTTAATGTTCATGACAGTTAAAACCGACTTCAAATAGGAGGAATTTGAATTATCTATTCAATTCAGGTGTTTTAAAGTAGTATGTTTTTTAATGTACCTATAATTTATTGCCTCGGTGGTGTAGTGGCTAGCATGTACTACTGCACACCTGGAGGTCCTGGGCTCGAGTCCCGGGTCAGGCCATGTTTAGTTATTGAATCTTTCAGTATAACAAGTCTCAGTAACAGCCCGGAGTTGGGAAGTTGGTGGTGTTTCACCCCCGTGCCTCGGAGAGCACGTAAAGCCGTCGGTCCTGCGCCTTAACTCTCACCGGTCGTGTCGAGAAGTCGCCCCACCGGAGCATGAGAGTGCCAGGAATAGAGTGCACGTTGTGTCTGCGCGTACACTTGTGCACTATAATATCTCCTGCGCAGTTGGCTAGTCTCAATGAGATTGGCCGCCGTGGCCGGCATCGGCTAGGAGAACATCATCATCATCATCAATTTATTGCAATATTACCTAATAATATCCGACAGACACTCTAATTGTAGATAGATTAATATTCGATACATTCATACGACGACAAGTTTGGCTCAGTGTGTAGTGACCCTAGTTGCTGTGCCAGCGGTCGCGGGTTCTAGTCCTGCTTGGGGCATTCATTATGTGATGAGCTCGAATGTTTGAACTCCAGTCATGGGTGTTTATATTTATAATATGTTTGTATTTAAAGTTTATATATATACATATATACTCGTATAAGTAGTGTATCAACTATCTGGTATCCATAAAACAAGCCTCGTAGCTTATTATGGAACTAGATGGTACAGCACCACGTATTAATGTCCCAACATATTTATTTATTTTATTCATCATTATTTATTTTCATTCCAATGTCCTCCATGAAAAATATAACGCCAAGAGTTAAATATTAAAATTATTTCAAGACAACATAATAAAATGTCATACTGAAGCGATTTTTTAATCTTTCATTTTAGATTAAAGGAAATCATAAAGTATATAATTTTATATAATATAAATAAACTCGTAAAAACACCGCAAGATTAGCTAAAGAACAAATTAAAAGTCAATAAAATATGATGCGACCATTAAAATAATCTCATACATACACGAGCTTCTAAAATACCGCTCCATTACGAATGAATAAATCTCACATGCAGCGTGGGCGGCAGGTGCCTTGCTGTCTTAATAATTTTCCTATGATATTTCATTACCGACGTACGTTAAATCCAAAATAAATATATTTACACACGTAATGACAACGTTAATAAGTTATATTAGTCTTATCATAATATTTAAAGTAGAGGAATTATTATATACTAGCATTGCCCGCGGCGCCGCCCGCGTTCAGATGACCAAAAACCAAATTCTTAGGTTTTACATATTAGTATACATGCAATGTAAGAACATTTCAGTTTTTATATTTTTTCTCAGAAATATGTTTTTTTCCGCGATGAAAAGTATCCTATATGATAACCAGCTATCATCATACCAAATTTCATCAAAATCACTCCAGTGGTTTTTCCGTGATGCGGTAACAGACAGACAAAAATTCTAAAAACTATAGATTCGGCCTCTGTATCGATAATAATGTCTATTTCAATAAGATTTTCCAAAAAATATTTAATGTACATTAGCATTGCCCACGGCTCCGCCCGCGTTCAGATTACCAAAAACCAAATTCTTAGGTTGTACATATTAGTATACTCTTACATTGCAGTTTTTGTATTTTTTCTCAGAAATGAGATATTTTCCCGCGGCAAAAAGTATCCTATATGTTGACCCGCATAACCAGGTATCACCATACCAAATTTCATCAAAATCCTTCCAGTGGTTTTTCTGTGATGCTGTAACAGACTGACAGACAGACAGACAAACAAACAAAAATTCTAAAAACTATAGATACGGACTCTGTATCGATAATAATGTCTATTTCAATTAGATTTTCCAAAAAATATTTAATGTACAGATTCTACTTAGTTACAATTTTATTATATGTATAGATTTTCAAATAATTTTACGTTTGTAAATATGTACATACATATTTTGATGTAACTCGTTACGTCTAAAAACAGCTCAGTTTTATACATATTTACACCTAACAAACTAATGTTTATAAGACGGTCGTGTTTATAATAAATTATACGAAAATATAATAAGTGCTCCACCGTCAAAATTCCGTTTGCATTTTTTGTGTATTAAAATAATTCAAACAAAGCGAAGTGCGATACACCAGGAATGTTTACGGTAAAATGTTAATAAATAAGCGTGAAGCAACATTTCATATTCGTCCAACAGTGTTTATACTTGTGCAAATTGTTTTTCTAAACTCGTAAAATTCTCGTCTCGCTACCTCCACGCATATTCTATGCGCATTTGTCATAGAGCTATAACGAATGTCCACAGCACATTCACTCAAAGTAGTACTATAACAAATAATATTATATTTTTATTGCCTATAAATATTTTATTATGCGAAAAAATTATCGGTAAGTTTGTTTGTCATTGAATAGTAAAACCGTGAAGTCTCGATGAAGCGACTCGATGAATCCTACTAATCCAACTAATATTATAAATGCGAAAGTTTGTGAGGATGTATGGATATTTATCACTCTTTCACGCAAAAATATAACTCGTACATCATTATAACACAGGCTTCTTTTTATCCCGTATAAATGTACGGTTCCCGTGGGATAGATTTATTTAAATTCAAAATGAAGATGAATTAAAGCTTTAATTTCATCTCATAGGCCACTTTTATTGACACAAGCAAAGCCGCGGGCAATAAGTAATGATTATTTAGTCTTTCTATTAATAGTTTGATTAAGTGTTTATAATATAATAAAGAATTTATATGAAAAATAACAATAATTTTTTTTGGGAGTTCTGTTAGTGTTGAAATAAATAAACAAACATAAATGATACATTATGTCTGTGTGGCTCACACTAATAAAGAGTTCTCGCTGGGGTCTAGATAGCTGCTCTCCTAAACCAATATTTGTAAGTATTTACTATGAAGTTAAACATAAGAATAATTTATATATAAAAGAAATATGAATTTGCAATTTGAATTTAATATAATCATAATTAAAACAATCTGATACAGTTATAATTTACACAGAAAAAATATTCAGCCCATCCGAAATCTTTTTGTTATATGGTTATCGACATCCGTTGTAAACCACTAAGCCATAAAGGTTTTTTTCATAGCACACGTATCCTAAACGTTATAAATATTTACTTAAAATATAAACCCCGCTCGCTATGCGTACTATTTACGCCATAAAAGATATATATGTGTAATCACTTGAAATTTGGCAGGTTTATTCCATATGGGGAGTACGTGTCCGTGTAGGGGTAAAAAAGAGGTTGGAACTTTGTATGAACATCCCTTATATTACGCTACGCAGGCAGATTCGCGGGTAAATGCTAGTATGATTATAAATTTGAATGTTACTGTTTTGTCCACAGCTACAAGTTCGTAACTCCCGTACCGAATCGACAGAAGACGACAAACGTAGCGATGACAGCCGCCCGCTCAGCCACGCTTCAGACTTCAGCAGAGATAATATATGTAAGTACGACTAATCGTCCAGTGGTAACGCGCCCGCTTGGGAAAACGAGTGAAGCGGATTCAAATCCCGGGTCGTGCATCTCTGATATTTTCATGTGCGAATCATTTCCAACATGATACCACTTACGGTGAAGGAAAATATCGCGAGAAAACTTCCTTGTCTGACAAAACTTAGCCAGTTTTTGAAGGACAGTGTGACAGATGTGAAGTCCGGCCGCACTTGGCCAGCGTGGACTAAGGCCTGATCCCCCTCGTATTGAAGGGAGGCCCGTGTCCAGCAGTGGGGCGTTAAAAATAGTTGAATAGAAATAATTTTAAACGAACAAACTTTAACTTAAAATGTTAGTATCATGAAAGGTATATAATACAAATATTACATAGTATTATAATTGACTTCACTCCCCAGTGGGTAACGCGCCGCGTCGTAGCCGCCGCGGTATCGCAAATGAATGGCAGAGACCCCTCACACGGTATTTGCCCGTCGATAGGGAAGACTTCGATCTACGACGTCATGTTGAATCTGCAGGTGAGCTTTCGTATAGTATATTAATATAATTTTGTGTGAATTATTTATTATATTTTTAATATTGGAAGATACTCGGGTACCATATCTCTTTTTTCCAAATATTACGTATAATTTTGTGGATAGACAGTAAACAGCTCTCAGTAATAAGTATATAATAGCTTTTGAGACGTTAAAAATCATTTCTCCCACCACAGACCATGTGTTCTGTAAAGCATTAGGAACGTAGGTTTGTTTGAAATTTGAGTAATTATTTGTTCTTACATTAACTTGTAAAATATATATGTTAAAATCCCATTACAGGTCACCAAATTGAGCTCTGCCCCTACGTGACGATCAACTCTACGTCGTGTCGCGGATACTTACACAAGTTGGGCGCAAAGTTCCACACCTGGTCCAAAAGGTAACTTATATATTTCCTTAGAAATTTGTAAAATTGATAGAGTGCAGTAATACGGTTATTGATGCCTGAATTTTTTTTTGTATGCTGTATGAACGATTCGGCCTCTAGTGTTAGACCCACATCCACAAACTTTTCTGAACTCTATATCCTTTAACAGATATCGGCTATGATGGCTTATCCCAATGTGATTAGACAAATACCTATAATATTACAATACCGTAGTCTGTATGTACGTGCAGACACAAGAGCACTCTCTATTTCTTTAACTCTAACATTTCCATCTGACCATTCTTATTAACCACCGACGCAAAAACGACGGAGTGTTATAAGTTTGACGTGTCTGTATGTGTGTCTCTGTGGCATCGTAGCTCCCGAACGGATGAACTGATTTTGGTTTTGTTTTTTTTGTTTGAAAGGTGAATTAGTCGGAAGTGTTCTTAGCTATAATGTTTGATGAAAATCGGTCCAAGGTAGCCGCCGCCACAAAATGGCTGATTACATATTTTTTCACAACTCCCTCAATATGGGTATCAAATGAAAAGGCTTGACTAGTAGAATACTATACACTATGATAAATTTTAAATCCAAGATGGCCGCCACCACAAAATGGCGAATTACATGTTTGTGGGGGTTTTTCAAATTTTTAATTTAATTTATTGATGTTGGGAAACGAACCGACCGTTGAGACCGGTGAAAAATAAGGCGTACTTTAAGACAGAAAAATCCTTGTCCCAACCCGGCACTGAACCCAAAAACTGCGGATCCGTACATGCTAGCTACTACACCACCGACATAGTTTATAGCCGGATAGTTTTAATAATTAATCTATCTCTATCCGTAGGTGGTTCGTTTTCGATAGAGAAACGAAAACGTTCGTCTACTACTGGGACAAGAGCGAGAAGAAACCACGTGGCGGTGCGTACTTCCAGGTAATGTAATATGAATAGTGTTTTTAGCTAAGTTTAAGGCCATAGTCCACCACACTGGCCAAGTGCGGGTTGGCGGACTTCACATGTCTTTCGAAAACTTGCTAGGTTCTTTCAGACTTGCAGGTTTCCTCAAGATGTCTTCCTTCACCGTAAGACAAGTTGTAATCGTGTTGGAAATTATCTATTGAAGTTTAAAACAAAACTTATTTTTTTTGGTCTAAAATGGTTACACATTAAAGTATGAATAAGATACTAATGACTTACCTTCTCTTCTATATGCTACTCCAGCTCGTAGTCTATGCATGTACCTACATCTAAATCCGTCTAGCTGTTCAGCGTGAAATCGTAACAAACAAACACACGTACAAGCTTTCGCATTACATATTAATATTTCATAAATATATTATACTAGCAACTTACCCTGGCTTCGCTCGCGTTCGACCCTATTGAAAAACAAAAATAATACCCCACGGAAACCTTACAGTTTTCCGGAATAAAAAGTAACCAGTGTTCTATTCTAGACTATAATCTATCTCTGTGCCAAATTTCATCCAGATCCGTTCAGGCGTTCTGGCGTGATTGTATAACACATATCCGTCTATCTAAACTTTCGCATTTATAATATTAATGGGATGGATGGTTTGACGCAACCCTTATTATGTGAATTCAAGTCGCACTTAACCGATTTAGTAAAATAATATTACCTATAATTTATTATTAATAATATAGTTACTATTATAATTTTAACAGGTAATAGAAGAAGTGTACCTAGATCATGGTAACACTTCGAAATCTCCAAACCCACAAACAACTTTCATAGTAAAAACGCGCCAAAGGAGATACTATCTAATGGCGCCTTCCGGCGAGGCCGCTAGAATATGGATAGACGTTTTATTTACCGGCGCACAAGGATATACTGAATATTTAGAATAAATAAAATGTTTATTTTTTTCTTTTTAATTTTTTGATTTCTTTCATATGGCAACTCTGTCCAACATGGCGGGACGAGAAACGTTTATTCTATACTAGAGTAGCAATGAAATATGTTTATGTATAGCTACATATATAATCAGTTTTATCAGGGAATATTTAAAATGCACTCTAGTATATTTTATCAACAATTTTTTAATTTGTTAATATGTCAGTTCGTCACACGACAAAGATTAATGTACGTGACATTGGCAAAGTAATCTGTGCTCAACTGGCACGTTTTGAAGCCATTAGCAAGAGAATTGAATTGAAAGATTAATGTCACGTCACAATAATATTTTTTAACATAACTTTGAGATATATAATTAATTAAATTATATATTTTTTTTCCCGAATACTTCGTGTCTTTTATATTTTACGTGACATTGGCAATATCATCTGTGTTAAAATGGCATGCCATTATAAAGAAAATTAAATCGAATTGAATTTAAATTTGAAAGGTATGAAGTAATAACGAATTGTATAATGTGGCGAATAGTTTTTAACATATTTAAATATAATTACACTCAAAATGATTGTTTTATTGATTTCTTTTATTATAAAAGAACTTTTGAATGTAACATTAAAACTTTAAATCGATTTATTCAATTGTGTTATATTTTATGTGGGTGCAATTCTTTTGTAATTTTGAAACGATTTTAAACTTTCAAAATATGAATTGTCTTCGATATCTATATATGGTATCCTAATAAATACGTAAATATGAATGGACTAAATTATATAAATACATTTAAAAACAATTGTATTGTGATATATACGCTTTTTATAAAATGTACTAGTAGTTGAAGCTTATATTTATATCGATTTTGTAATCGCTAAATATATAATCGATTTTGCATATAAACTTTTAAATGAATTATTTCACTATATTAAATAATAAAAACGCGAAACAGTATTTTATACTAATTCTAAAATATATAGCAACCTTCATAGGTCAAGAAATACTTAAGTACAATGACAATAATTATTTTGTTTTTTTTTTCTTGAAAAAAAAGAAACATTATTCATTTCGCAATAAATATTGAATATTTAGGAAAAAGTTGTTAAAATTAATAAATAAAATGAGATTTTAAATGTATTTTTTTTTGTTCTATGAAGGATTTATGTAAATTAATAGATAATAACTTGTGCCAATATAAAAAAATCGATAATGCAGCTATTTTTTTATATAAATTTATTGGAATATCGGTGCCTTGTTCAAGACTGACGTCAAACAATAAAATATACATTTGTAATGAATGGTTCGTATGAAGTCAATTTTAATATTATTCGTATTTACATGTGTGTATAATCTTTATATTATATAATCTAGTATAGTCAATTCGGTTGTTTATTCTGCCAATCGAAGTTATGGTTATGTATCAGTTCGGTTGTGTATATTAACTGGTTAAAACGTTACTTATGTCATGAATTTAAATAATGTTTATTTAATTACTAATAACTTTTTTCACAGTTTGGTTAATTTACACAACCATACTACATTTTTTTAATTAAAAAGTACACAGATGGTTTCAAGTTGCAAATGAAACCGATTTTTTTCATATTTAATATATGAATTATATTTATTAAAGCATAAGTTAAAGGTTTTTTTCGACCAATAGCGTGTATTTTATTCTAATTTTTATTTTACTCTTGTTTGTGCGAGTTCGATATAAAAATAATCATATTATTTTTCTTTTCTATTGGTCGATGAAATGGTTAAAGCTATTAGATTAATACATCCCATTAAATATATGCACGCTTATTAAATTAGTATTATGAATGTTACCATAATTGAATTGATTAATGGCAACTATACATTGCCCTGAAAATCGAATATATTTTAAAATAATGTAAAAAGTGAGATCATGGAAAATTAGATTTTTTTCTGTAAGTACAAAATTTCAGTAAGTGTTGGTATAAATAGTATATTCAATTATTAATTGGAATCTGTAATCTTCAACAATTGTTTTAATTTAGGGCTTTAAGTTAAGATATTTCTTATCAATTGTTTTTTTAGAGAGATATTTTAATATCCAAGTTTTAAAAGTAATATAAAAATCTGTAATCTAATTTTCATGATCTTATTCTAAAATATAAATTAATTTTAACAATCCAAGGTACAGTTACTTAATTGTAAATACGTCCACAGCATGTGTGTTAGTTTTATTCCTAAGAATATCTCATTTGTTATTAATGTTTGTGACTGTGCCTGTAATTTAAAATATTTTCTTTGGTTACTGCATTTACCTATCGCATTGTAACATAAGTACAAAGTCGTTGTTTTGTTTGGAATTGATATACCAGTGTAGAAATATTTTTAACTAAGGCTTGTCTGAGAGGGTTTTTGTAAGTACGGCTGATACCAATATATAGTGTAAGGTCACATTTAACGAAATTAATAAAGCATCTAAATAAAATATGAATTATATTTTGTGAGTTTCATTTTTTATATCCTATAGTATAATGTATTAAAAACATTAAATGTTTTATAGCTGTCGTTATAATCGTATGAAAATTATTTATTTACCAAAACTATGAGCTTACTAAACATATATAATAATAATAATAGATTTTTTAAAACAATAATAAAAAGCACGGTTGACTATGGGTTACCGCGCTTGAATTCGCCGCGAGAGGCGCTAGTGTAGAGTGAGGTCTAGGAAAAGTCGAATGATACTGAAAGGTTACTGTTTGCGAGCTTTTGTATCGCGGATCTTCAATATTTATTCATGATTATTGTCTTTGTGAACATGGTGCTATTTCTGATTAATTGTGACAGATACGGTAAGGCTCCACAAATGTTATTGTTTTAAAACTAGAGCTAAGAAGAAATCAATATTTTATCTATTGTTATTATATATTAATTACTAGCATTGCCCGCGGCTCCGCCCGCGTTCAGATGACCAAAAACCAAATTCTTAGGGTTTACATATTAGTATACTCTTACATTGCAGTTTTTGTATACTATCTCAGAAATTGAGATATTTTCCCTGAGTAAAAAGTATCGTATAATAATGTTGACCCGGATAACCAGCTATCATCATACCAAATTTCATCAAAATCCCTCCAGTGGTTTTTCTGTGATGCGGTAACAGACAGACAGACAGACAAAAATTCTAAAAACCATAGATTCGGCCTCTGTATCGATAATAACGTTTATTTCAATAAGATTTTCCAAAAAAATCTATTGTACAGATTCGGCCTAATTACATTTTTATTATATGTATAGATTTAAAACAAAATCCTGATAAACATGTGTCGCGCTAACAATCATTATGATTATATTAAATTTATTACCCTGCCGCACTAACAAATACATTTTTAACGCAACAGGTTAGTCGTCATTTTCGCTAAACGATGAAAAACGTTTTTTCATCGTTTACGATGAAAAAACTACAAATTATTAGATAATTATAAAAATTATGTGTGTGTCGCTAAAGCGAAACACCTACAAATCAATAAATACACATTAGCATATTCACAAAGTGCACGATTGTGCGGAGCGTTGCTGTAGTTGAAACATTCGATGTTGAGCATTATGCCGTATAATACGCTTTATAGTTCTCTCACAGTGTAGGTAGTACCTAAGTAAATATTAATTTATAAGGATTGAATCGATTTCATGTTCGAATAATAAGACGTTACTACATTACTTCTTCATCTTCTCCCTGCCCATTTCCCAATAACTTGGGGTCGGCGCAGTGCATCTTCTGTACTGCTGATAGGATTTGGCAAAAGTTTTACGACCGGCCGCCTCACGCCTGCCTGACGTCAACCCTCCTTGGGAATGCTATTGTCTCTCTTTGTCTGAATGGTGTCGCGGAAGTCTTGTAATTATTATGCACTTTCGATTTTGTTGTCTTTTAAAACATTTTTATACTATTACTTAATTTTTTTATGTTATTTTCGTATATATTTTAAAATAAATTTTGATTACACCATACATTTTGTTAAGTTACATTTAACATTACTATTAATTTTTATTTGTCATCCATGCTATTAATGTCAAAATGACACGAGTGAGTATGACGGCCTATGTCACTTTGAGCTTACTGTCTGTATAGATTGCTTCAATTTTTAATTTCCAACTTGCTATGAGGATTGAAGTTTGAAGTGTTGATCATTAGCTAATTAAGGAAATAATATACAATTCAAGTATAGCTGCGATAAAAAGCGCACGCCTTGACTTAGTTTGCATATATACTTTATCAAAAAGTAAACATTAATAAATTAAATAGTTACAACAAAATATCTATCCGTCATGGAAGCAGTGCAGAAAGTTCGTAAATTCATCAGCCATTGGTACTTAAGATACTTGGTTTCGACTGAATTGTACATGGTAGAACCTTGGGAAAGGGCTGTTATTCGTATCCTTTTTTAACGTATGTAATAATATTATATCCTTTGAAATGTAAGTATTTTTTTAAAAACTTTATTATATTTACTTACTAACGTTACGTTTTCACGTTTAGTATAGATTTCTCAGCGATGAGATTTTTCTGCAGTAAGAAGTATCCTATATATTGACCCGGATAACCAGCAACCATCATACCTGTTGAAAAACACCAATAGAATCCCATCAAAAGCGACAAAAGCCATATAGAAACCAATAAATATGTATTGGTTTTTATGTGGTTTTTGTCGCTTTTGATGGGATCCTATTGAAGTTTTTAAATAGGGATATCAAATATCATCAAAATACCTCAAGTGGTTCTTCCGTAATGTGGTCACAAATAGATAAACAGACAAAAATTCTAAAAACCATAGATTCGGCCTCTGTATCGATAATAACGTTTATTTCAATAAGATTTTCCAAAAAAATCTATTGTACAGATTCGGCCTAATTACATTTTTATTATATGTATAGATTTAAAACAAAATCCTGATAAACATGTGTCGCGCTAACAATCATTATGATTATATTAAATTTATTACCCTGCCGCACTAACAAATACATTTTTAACGCAACAGGTTAGTCGTCATTTTCGCTAAACGATGAAAAACGTTTTTTCATCGTTTACGATGAAAAAACTACAAATTATTAGATAATTATAAAAATTATGTGTGTGTCGCTAAAGCGAAACACCTACAAATCAATAAATACACATTAGCATATTCACAAAGTGCACGATTGTGCGGAGCGTTGCTGTAGTTGAAACATTCGATGTTGAGCATTATGCCGTATAATACGCTTTATAGTTCTCTCACAGTGTAGGTAGTACCTAAGTAAATATTAATTTATAAGGATTGAATCGATTTCATGTTCGAATAATAAGACGTTACTACATTACTTCTTCATCTTCTCCCTGCCCATTTCCCAATAACTTGGGGTCGGCGCAGTGCATCTTCTGTACTGCTGATAGGATTTGGCAAAAGTTTTACGACCGGCCGCCTCACGCCTGCCTGACGTCAACCCTCCTTGGGAATGCTATTGTCTCTCTTTGTCTGAATGGTGTCGCGGAAGTCTTGTAATTATTATGCACTTTCGATTTTGTTGTCTTTTAAAACATTTTTATACTATTACTTAATTTTTTTATGTTATTTTCGGATATATTTTAAAATAAATTTTGATTACACCATACATTTTGTTAAGTTACATTTAACATTACTATTAATTTTTATTTGTCATCCATGCTATTAATGTCAAAATGACATGAGTGAGTATGACGGCATATGTCACTTTGAGCTTACTGTCTGTTTATATTGCTTCAATTTTTAATTTCCAACTTGCTATGAGGATTGAAGTTTGAAGTGTTGATCATTAGCTAATTAAGGAAATAATATACAATTCAAGTATAGCTGCGATAAAAAGCGCACGCCTTGACTTAGTTTGCATATATATTTTATCAAAAAGTAAACATTAATAAATTAAATAGTTACAACAAAATATCTATCCGTCATGGAAGCAGTGCAGAAAGTTCGTAAATTCATCAGCCATTGGTACTTAAGATACTTGGTTTCGACTGAATTGTACATGGTAGAACCTTGGGAAAGGGCTGTTATTCGTATCCTTTTTTAACGTATGTAATAATATTATATCCTTTGAAATGTAAGTATTTTTTTAAAAACTTTATTATATTTACTTACTAACGTTACGTTTTCACGTTTAGTATAGATTTCTCAGCGATGAGATTTTTCTGCAGTAAGAAGTATCCTATATATTGACCCGGATAACCAGCAACCATCATACCTGTTGAAAAACACCAATAGAATCCCATCAAAAGCGACAAAAGCCATATAGAAACCAATAAATATGTATTGGTTTTTATGTGGTTTTTGTCGCTTTTGATGGGATCCTATTGAAGTTTTTAAATAGGGATATCAAATATCATCAAAATACCTCAAGTGGTTCTTCCGTAATGTGGTCACAAATAGATAAACAGACAAAATTTCTAAAATCTGTAGATTCGACGTAATAATAAAAAACGTTAGGTAATAATGACTATTTTAATAAGATTTTCCAAAAAATATTTAATGTACAGATTCGGCTTAGTTATAATTTTATTATATGTATAAATTAATTAACGAACAAAAACTAATATGAACAATATTTTATTATTTTGTTTTTCATAACAACTCATTAAATCTAAGTGTAGTTAAGACAGTAAAAAATAAAAAATTAACATATTTGTAACTACGCAGTATTTTTTGTGTATGTATTATTTTAGTAACAAAAATATTTATTATTTAAATCATAATAGTCTTTTAATTCAACATTTTTCATAAACATTTTGATTGCATCTAAAGAAGTTTTTGATAAATTGACAATAACCCACATTTTCCTTGTGATAATAATTATAATATTATTATAATTATTGTCATTAACAACTTGTCTGTTTGTAAGATGTGTGTAATACCCATCTTCATTTTCCTGTTAGGTAGTGTATCAAATTCCCTACAATCATTACATAAATCAACCACATAAAGAATTACTGTAGTTATCTTATATACATACCTATATTTAAACAAGCATTTCTTGTATGTATATATATATAAATTTATTTCATACATCTGGAAACGGCTCTAATGATTTGGATCAAATTTTATAATTAGATAAGGTTTTGTTTTTTAATATTATCAATATAAGGTATCTTTTCTCAATACACAAACATAAAATTTATATCTTCTCTGAAACAAGCCGAATGAAACTCGGTTACCAAGGTACATAATAAATAATGACCTCTGTATGTAACCAGAAATGATTATAATTTATAACTAAAAGCTGCTGGTATGTTATTTATTTTATTAGCATTTAACATATAAAGACAAAATATTTTTTGGTCATTCTCTTTTATTTTGTGTAAACCATTGGTATCTATTAATTTGGTTTGATTGGTTTTATCCTTACAAGCAATAGATATTTAGATAAGTTCTATACAAATGATGTCAAATTCCTATCTTTAGTAAGGAGAACCAAATTAGATATATTATTGGATTTCACGTTATTTAACAATCTATTTATCAAATTATTATAAATTATTAATTTATCAAACATTTTCTGTCTAAATTAATTTTGAGTTTTTATATATTTATATAAGTACCTGTGTTTTTATTGATTTTCGTTCAAATTATAATTTAAATAATGATACCCTGAACTAAATAAAACCAGATGTGCTATTTGTAGTGGTGTTTGCACTGTTTTGGTATTTCAATTATTCAATCATCTTCAACGGAATTTCACAATTGCGGGACTCATCACAACATGTTGACGAATTATAATTTACCTGATGTTTATTATATTGTAATTTATTGTTGGGATTAATGGAATATACTATTATGCTATGTTATTTATGTTTTTTTTTTATTTTTATCCTTTCCAACGATATCAAGACAACGCTATATTATTTGAATAGAAAAACATTTACTTACTGCAAGTTATACATCGAATGATCAAAATTCATAAGTTACAAATAAAACTTTAGTACTTTAGGGTTTAGGGCCTATTCACATGACGATATTTTAACGCGCTGTCGGTTACATTTATAATGCGACGCTTTGTCGGCGTGTTTATGTAATGCGATGTGCGTAGGTTCTTCCCTATTTAAAAACTCCAATAGGATCCCATCAAAAGCGACAAAAGCCACATAGAAACCAATACATATTTATTGGTTTCTATGTGGCTTTTGTCGCTTTTGATGGGATTCTCTTTAATGGGTTAATCTTGAGAAAAATTGAAAAAAGAAACTCAGTGAGACTAAAGATTTCTAGAATAATTGTTTTTATATAAAGACTAGCATTGCCCGCGGCTTCGCCCGCGTGCAGGTGACCACAAACCAAATTCTTAGGTTTTACATATTAGTATACTCTTACATTGCAGTTTTTGTTTTTTTCTCAGAAATAAGATATTTTTCCGCGGTAAAAAGTATCCTATATGTTGATCCGGATAACCAGCTATCACCATACTAAATTTCATCAAAATCCCTCCAGTGGTTTTTCTGTGATGCGGTAACAGACAGACAGATAAACAAAAATTCTAAATACTATAGATTTGGCCTCTGTATCGATAATAATGTCTATTACAATAAGATTTTCCAAAAAATATTTAATGTACAGATTCGGCTTAGTTACAATTTTATTATATGTATAGACTAACAACTCACCCTCGCTCTGCTCGGGTTCGTCTCTAGTTACGTTTTAACGTTCAGTGTAGATTTCTCAGAGATGAGATATTTCCCCGCAGTAAAAAGCATCCTATATGTTGACTCGGATAACCAGCTATCATCATACCGAATTTCATGAAAATCTGTCCAGTCGTTTTCTCGTGATGCGTTCCCAGACAGATAGACAAAACGTAAGTAGTATAATATTGAGCCATTAGTAAACCCAGTATTAAATAATTTTTGCAGGAAGGAAAATGATTATTTATTGTAATGACGTAAGGTTGTGTCGTGTATATAGATATATGTCTTGCATAAATAACATTATTTTTCCTGTACATAGTTGTAAATGAAAATTGGACGGTATTTCCAACTTCTCTTTCTTTATAAATCTTTGTACTTTCGTCACAGGCTAACCATACAAAATAAGTAGTTTCATGCGAACTCTTGTCTTAGTATAATGTATGTATGTTTGAGTGCATACAATTTTAGTATAAGAATTATCTAACAGAAATTGTCTCATGAAAATCTGCGTTGGTTTTTTCTGGTTCAGATTTTGTGGCATGTATTGCATTGAATTTTTCCTTTTGGAACGAACTTCCTTATAACACGTTACCGGAAGAAGTGTAATAAGACTTTTCCGACACTTGTTGTAGTTACAGCCGTGATATACATCGCCGCACACAGCTCTCCGATGTCCCGCGCGCCGAAAGACTCGACGGTTCTCTTCTCTTCGGCTTTTTTAAACATTTGTTTATATTTTTATAGTAAATAATTAATGAAATGAAATAAACTTTATTCAATTAGACTTATTACAAGTGCTTTTGAATTTATTTTAATAATTCATGTTTATGTTACTTCTAAAATTAAAAAAAGCATTATTAATAAAATAAGACTTATAGAATTCTTAAATTTTTATTTGTTATTAACTTAATTATCCCATATCATTCAGTGTTTAATCTATCGTTATTTAATTTATACATAATAAATATATTTTATCGTAAATTTTCAATTGAACTCTATCAACTTGATATTTTATAATATAAATACTGTAAAGCAAACGTCTACTTCGTTCCGACCTGGGGTCCATAGACCCCTTATTTTATTATATTTTTTTTTTACTTTTTATTGGGTAAATTTTATTCCTAACACTGCTTATGTCTTACTCCAGGCCATAGTTTATTTGAGTAATCAACTTCATCCAAATAGGTACAGCCAGTGCAACATACTTACCATGAGGTGGCGCTACCTATACAAAATACATATGGTAAAAGACTTCATTGTGTTTTATTCCCCATATAAACTTTCATCCCCATTTTCAACCCCTTGAGGGGTGTTTTCGGGGATAAAGTTTCTATGTCCTTCCCAGGGTCTCAAACTATCTTCTTGCAAAATTTCATCTAAATCGGTTCAGTAGATCCATTGATTACCCCATACAACGTTACAAACTTTACCTCTAATTATAGAGGTAATAATTATAATATTATATTAGTATGTATAGATTAGTTTTTACACTACTATATATATGTAGATATTTAATTACACATTTATTCAATTTTTTTGCATTATTATAAGTTTATTTTCCTAGATTTCTATTAATTTAAAATTTATAAACAAAATCTTTTATATTATATCTATCATATACATGTATACGATATTCGTAATAGTTTTCGAATTTCATTAAACTCTTACAAAGGCCTTTTTTTAAATTAATATTCAATTAATCAATTTTATTATCTGTAGGAATAATAAAATTAGTAGAATTTCCCGCCATTTTTAGTTGTCAAAGGTAATTGCTAAGTATTTAAAAAAAAATCTTATAAGTATTAAGTGCATGTTATCATAAAAAATGATGAAAAAAAACAAACAGAATTTCAAATTTATTGTTGTTCAAGCTTTTAGATAACTGACACAGTAACCGTTTGTATAACGAAAGGATTCCGGCATTTTCAAAGACATCTCCTCCAAATGTTTGACTCCTTGACCGAACATGTTTTTAGATATTTCTGTAGAAACCACTCCGGGGTCCGCCAACCAATTTTCAACTTCCTCATTCATTTCCAACTCAATTTTATACAAAATCTTAGTTAAATAACTTGATTGCAATAGAACTTTATCACTGATACGAGTTTCTGTATTTTTCAACACTTGCAGTTCTTTATCAATGACCCAAATAAGTAGAAATTGCTTTTTGGAAGTGGATATGGTACATTCTAAAACTATTTTACACATCATTGTATACTGCATTCCGAGGTTAAACTCCTTCGTCATACACTCTACTGTGTATATAAAATCATCTTTAATAACACTCTGTGTTGTATTTTTATGTGAAAACACATGCTTTTCTGTATTATTTTGATTAATTTTGACTTCAGAATTAAATAGTTTCACTGTATTCTTACTCTTAACTCCTAACCAAGCGAGGCATCTATTGCAATGATAGGCTGTACGCTTGGAATTAAACTTATTTGCTTTCTCGCTTAAAATGTCGTTATCTATTGCAAAATAAGTCAGTCTGTAGAGAAAATCTAATTTGTTGGGTTTCACTTCATTATGAGTGTTGCCATGTCCATGACAGAACCATTCGGACATATCTAAATTAGTTGTAGGCAACTCCAGAATCCTATCGAACTTAGTCAAACCGTTCGATATTAAATTAGAACAATTTGCGCATAAAAATTGAACAGCATCATCTTTCTCTAAATTAATATTCAATTTATCAATTTTCATCTCTTTATTATCTGTGGGAGTGATGAATTCAGCATAAAAGTTCCCGCCATTTTTGGGTTCTGTCAAAATCCTGAAGGAGATTGTGTTTTTGTCGATTTTCAAACACGACATAGAATTTGGTATTATGTGACAGAATTCGTGTACAGGAATAACACAAGAATCCATTTCATCGTCAGAATAATCCGACAAACTTTCTATTGAGCTCAAACTGTCCCGTCTTTTGCGGTTGTTATAATAATTCAATAAAATACAATTAGATTGTATACTAATTTTCAAATTGCAATCTCTTTTGAAATCCACATTTGTTATGATATAAACGTTACAACTCCTTAATCTGGAACGGAGTTCCATATAAATGTTCTTTACTAACATATTTACAAGAAAGATATTTGGTGAAATTTATCCCAAAAAACCACTTAAGATGGCGTTTTGAATAAATCGAACGTTTATTTATCAATTAACTGTGTTTTAATCTTTTGTACATATCCATTGGTCTCATAAACGTTAAAAAGGGAGTCCATTTCACGGACAGTGAAGGGTAGAGAAACTTTTTGGTAATAATCGTTCATAATTTCAATATTGTTAATGACAGTGTCCAATAAATGCGATTTCTCTGCATAAATACCAGGTGCCTCGTGCTTCAGATATGTAAAATGCACGTGCAAATGATAGAACGACGGCTGATAGTGAAAGTAGATTCTCAATTGACTTCCCGGAACTTTGTATTTCTCAAAAATTGCTTTCTGTAAACAATATATCATAATATTAGTAATGCAACTAATATCATATAAACAATTTGATCAGTCGTTCTGTACCAGAGATTGCAGGTTCGAATCCTGTGCAATTCTTATTGGAAAAAAAATAAGAAATGCATATTGTATACAAGTGTATGAACTTTTATCTAGGTCTTTTATTTTAACGGAAAACCTGAAAATGTAAGAGGTAGCAAAAAATACTAATTTTCAAATGACGTGACACTTTCGTTAGATGACTTCTAGATCAGTACACTTGGATTTTGCTATTATAAAATGTACAAGCCGCAGTTGGCCAGCTTGGTGGACTATGGCCTGTTCCACCTTGTATTGAATGGAGGCACTGGCCAGCAGTGGGATGTTAAGAAAAGAGCTGAATATAATCAATGTGAAAATAATTTGTCAGTCTATATAAATAAAGTTTTTTCAAGCTAAAACCATTAAACAAATTTTAATTAAACTTGGCAAGCACATATATATTCAAATTATGAGGACCGTCAGGTTAGCAATATATTAGTACATATTATATTATAAGTAGAATTTTCCATACCTTTCCTTCGTCACGAATTCTCTTCAATAAAGGCAAGTGCGTCTCATTCAAATCCCTTAGACTTTTAATACCTCTTTGTCTAACAATAGCGAGTAGGTACAATGTCTCCTTAGCGAGTCCGTCCCACTTCAAATCAGGCAACAGTACAAAACCCTCTTTTTCACACTTATTGTTGTATACTATTCTATCTTGTTCGCTTTTACCATCCAAAATATTATATACCCACTGGAAATTAAAATAATAAGAAAAATCTTGGTATTTAATAGTTATTTTACTATCAAAAATGGCATTGGTAACCCAGTGGCAATGATCTTGTTTGTGAAACTGATTTTATTAACTATTAAATCCAAGATGATTACCACTTGTTCTACTGTGAAGGTAAATATCGTGAGGAAATTTACATATTGAGAACCTAGAAACTTTTTGAAAGACATGTGCGCTTGGTCAGTGTGGTGGACTATGGCCTGATCCCCCTTGTATTGAAGGGAGGCACACGCCAGCATCGGAATGTTAAAAAGGGAATACAATAGTATAAAAAATATATCATATTCTAAACTCTTTTTAGGTAAAAGCTATCATAGCTTTTACTAATATTTACAGCTTAACGCTTCCGTGGTGAGTATAGCTTTTACTAATATTTACAGCTTAACGCTTCCGTGGTGAGTTTCCATGAAATCAATTGTTATCTGCCATGTTGGCATGTTCGCAACCTTTGAAGCGTTAAAATATTTCTTTTTAAACAAAGAATTACCTGTAAATTAAACTGATCCTTCTCTAACTGTGGCAGTGTCACCTTACTGTAGCAGTCTGGATTTTCAAGTACAATATGTACTTCTTGTTGACAAAATTTAGCTATGTGCTTATCTGTAGCTGGATAGATTATTGTGGTCTTTACACCTGAAAATCAAGTACATATATTATAAAAAAATATGTTAAACAGCTTATCTTTTTATATCCAAATTATCACAATCATAAAAACCATAACAAAGTAACAGCAGTTAAATTATATATCAGGCTTGATTGTACCAATACATATGCTAGCATACTTAATGGTAAAAACCAGAATTACTTTAAAGATTTAATTAAGAAATCATAGATTATATTGTTTTAAATAATATAATAATTTTTAAACTTTTAATAATAAACAGTTAAATAACTCACACACTTGTATCATCAAACAAAATTTCAATAATTATTCACTATAAAATTGTCTTTAGCACAATACCATATGGATTCAAAAACATGTTGAATTTTAAAACCGCTTTTGATGTAAATAAATACAAAAAGTGTGCTGCTGATGTCTTATTAAAATAACATATTGGTGATGCAATTGTGTTTTATTAGAAAGGCGGAATATACGTAAATTACATGATGACTCATGAGATTTAGATTTATAATACTAATAGGTTATTAAGAAGAAAGTCATTGTAATTGTTTCAAGTTTATCGCTTCTTAGATATCTATCAATTTATAAATAAACTCTTATCTTTTTTTTAGACTAATTAATTATTGTTGCACATGTTTGACTTTGGAAAAACCGATAATACATTGACGTAATAAGTATTTTGGTGAATATGTTACAACCAAGAATAAATACTGTACTCACGACGACGGAAATAACTCTAATATGAATGGACAATCTGTTAATCATCTAAAACCTTGAATTTTGAAAGTTCATTATTGTGATGAAAGAGAATGGTTATGTAGATAATAGGGTTTCCTTACCATTGATACTATTTTTGGGAAAACACTCGAAATTTCCGTAAATATCGTTCTGGAAGAATGTCTTTAGTTCGCTTTCCGCTGAGAAATAACCATTGCTGTCTAATTCTTCTGCTTTGAAAGCATTTTTTTCTAAAAGTACCAACGCTACATCACTTTTGTCTTTAAAATTTCCAAGCACGCAAACTGTTTTCCTATTCGTATTATTGTTAATTATTTTCGTAGGAATAAAGTCTTTTAATTCTAATTGCGATTCTATTACACCGTTTTCATTTTGCTCGTCTTTTTTAATTTTCTTTGCGCAAGGTTCAACAACGTCGCTCTGGCAATTACCGTCGGACATTTTGTGATGATGTTACCAGTGACATTATATCATATTTCAAACTAAAAAATGTTGCAATATATAGAAATTAAGAAAAATGGTATATTTTATAGAAATATATTTTTCTATTAATTTATTTTTGTTTACAATAATATTTACATAAAAGCTAATATGTTTATAATCGCTACAATTTAAATACGTATTAGTCCATTCATTATTATTAAATGATAACTCTGGAATTATACCTTCCTAAAATTCATATAATGTAACACTACAGAAAATAGATTTGGTGCCATTGCCGTATATAAATAAAATAATATAAAAACAATTATTAATTATAAAATGGTAAGGGAAAAATAACTTATTCGATATTTTTGGTAAATATGTACATATATATAAGCACTGAATTTTATACGTTATTTGTTTACATAACCTTAGATCTTAGTCGTTTATTCAAACTTTTTCAAATCATCGGTCCAACGTAGTCCGTGCCGCAAGGCGCCTTCGTTTGCCTAAGCGCAGTCTCCACTCTAACATGTGTCGGCTCCATAGGCGATAGGGCTATTATTGAGGCTTACTATACAGAAAGACTCAATAACTAAACTTGGCCCGACCCGGAACTCGAACCCTGGACCTCCGGGTGTGCAGCCATACATGCTATCCACTACACCACCGAGGCAGTTTGTTGCTATAAAGGCAATAGAAATATATAAGTACTCTGTGAAAATTTCAATTCTCTACCTATCACGGTTCATAAGATACAGCCTTCTGACAGACGGACGGACGGACAGCGGAGGCTTAGTAATAGGGTTTCGTTGGCACCCTTCGGGCACGGAACCCTAAAAAGCAGGATAGAAAACTGTTAATCTCATTTTTAACTAATTTCCTTTGTTATAGACACAACATTCCGGTCGTTGACTCGTTTAATACGCTATTTCTATCATGAATGGGTCACTTTATTTAATTTACCGACAATTCAATACAATACATATGTCACTTGAAGAGATGAATTGATCCAGGCTGCCTTCGACCGATAATCACAATCGCACAAAGTCCGTCATTCAAAATGGACCGAGACTCTTAATTATTTATTTATATCCATACCAATACTACGTTTCTTCTTCTGAGTACCTATTAATTATTTCAATCTAAGCATCGTCTATCGTATCGTTATTGGGGCGTTGTAACTTGTAGTGTGTGCGCAAGCAATCCTGCAATGTCCCATTACGCTGCGACGACGGGTTCCGCTATGGGTTTTAGTTAGTTGGAGTATCACAGTACCCTGGCCGTTGACGGCCGGCAGAACCCCATGATAGGTTGCCCCAGCGCTGTCAAAAAAAGCATCGTCAAGTGTTACCTACCGAATTGTGATTCTGTGAAACCTCAAATCATATTATGTTAGAAAATATTGTAACAGTAAAGAATCTACTTGTAAATCACTTAAAGAATAATTATTCAACCCTTAGTGTTGAAATATTTTATGAACTTTATATGGGACCACCGGTTAAATATATATTATTTATTATTAAAATACCCCAAGAGTAAAAAACCCACAAGAAAGTTTTGAAGAATTGTGTAGGTAGGTATTTCCTCCGTCTTGAGTCGGTATAATATTTGTATTTTTGAAATCGTTTTGTAAAATTCTGGGTAGGCACTGTCTGTAACAAGTATAAAACGCCTATGAGACGTCTAAAACCTTAGTCTCTCCCGTGACCATGATTGCTGTAAAGCATTCGAAACGTTGGAAACCAAAAATCAAAATAAACCCGCGAAGTAATCCGAAAAGATAGTTTATTTGCCTTTCTATTGAAGTGGTAAAATTATATAGTGTTTGCCGTGGTCTTTGGGAGAAATTCACTTAGTATGTTATTTAGGGTTCCGTAAACATAATTTCATCACGCCCGTCTGACGAATAAAACAATTGTGTATTGATTATATTGACTTGACTGAATTATTTAAATATAAGATGAATGGTGCTGAAACACTCAAGTAATAGTATTTTAAAATATTTTCAGGGAAAATTATATTGAAGAACGTTAGGTACGTTCTTCAATATAATTTATTCATTTCATTTCATTAGTTTTCGTTCATTAGTTTTAGAGATATGGAATATTTATTAAGCATGCGCTTTGTTATTTTAGAGCTGATGGTATAATTAACTTTTTTTTAATAGAATCTTTTAGAAGTACCATGAAATGACTTATTCCTGATGTCGATAAAAAGAATATTGCGGTGAAATATAATAAAATACACTAAAATGAGAATAAAAACAGAGAGAGAGAGAGAAAGAAATGAATGGACTAGATAAAAAATACTTTTAACTTTAAAGAATACACACAATATGCTTTTACTTCATGTACCTATAATTAATTTTTACATATAATAAAATTCTAACTGAGCCGAATCTGTAGGTACATTAAATATTTTTTTTAGAAATTCTTATTGAAATAGTCATTATTATCGTTACAGAGGCTGAATCTATACTTTTTAGAATTTTGTCGGTCTATCTGTCGGAACGCATCACGAGAAAACCACTGGATTTTGATGAAATTTGGTAATGTAATGATAACTGGTTATCTGGGTCAACATATAAGGTACTTTTTACTGCGGGAAAAATATCTCATTTCTGAAAAATCTATAATAAACGTTAAAACTTAACGTCCAAAATAAAACGTAATAATAAGTATATAAAATAAGATTTAATACGATGTAATTTTTTCTCGGAAGCCGAGTAGTTTTGGCTAAAAAAATAATTTAAAAATTCTTGTAATCCAGCAATTAGCGAATGGAAATATTAATTCATACTTTATTTTAATTATTTAATTTTTTTTGTAGGCTTTTAGATTCTATTAGAAGTTCCACATTCCAATTACCCTCTTTTTTAATTGGAGCTAATCAAGCCACTAAGGCACAGACAAATAATATTGTTATAGTGCTTGAGGCGCATATAATAAATATGATCTCGTTAGACGAACAAGAAGGTTTTAGTTTATTTTTAGATAACAAACAACGTCGACTTGAATTTGAATCATTCAACCTCTGGATATGAATAGTCTTAATTTAAACAATCATATAATAAATTGTTTCTTACTTTTGACTTCATATTACAACCCACTTACATCTAGAAAGATTAACAGTATCGTTGAAAAATAACTTCATTAAACACAAATGGGTAAGCTAATTTTGATAAAATTTGTCAGAAAGGAACAAGCATAGAAAATTTGTATAGTTTACATGGAGAAACTGGGATGAGTTACGAATAAATGAAATGAAAATAAAAAAAAATGTTATTAAAGCGCCCAATTGAATGAATGTATATGTCTGCTAGTTATGCATTCTGATTGTAACGAAACTTTGGCGAGTTACTGTGTGCGTTAAAATTTTTGATATAGTGAGTTGATAAAGGTACAATCTCACTAAGATTAGCCAACTGCGCAGGAGATATTATAGTGCACAAGTGTACGCGTAGATACAATGTACAAAGAGAATGCACGTTGTGTCTGCTTCCTGCCACTCTCATAATCCGATGAGATGACAATTAAACACAACCAGTGAGTGACCAGGCATAGGGCCGATGGCTTTACATGCTCTCTGAAGCACGGGAGTGTAACACCGCCAACTTCCCAAATCCAGGCTTGTTACTAAGACTTCTTAAGCAGAAATACCTCAATAACTTAACTTTGCCCGACCCGGGACTATAACCCAGGACCTCAAGATCTGCAGCCATACAAGCTAGCTCCTAGACCACCGAGGCAGTTTGATATAGTATATAGTAAATAGTAATACTTAATAGCAATTTAATTAATAGCAATCATAGAGCGAATTGGATCGGAAAGTATTAATCGGAATAAAAAATAGGACTATCTGGGATACAACATGACGTATTATATGCCTGAGTATTTCATATCAGGACAGAAAATTGGTGATATCTTTAATTTTACAATAACCCCATTGTTACTTTCTAAATTACTCCTTTAAGTGACAATTGACTGAGTAATCTGTAATAGATAGCAAATATTTGAGTTGTTATTAGGATTAAATTGAATAAAATTCTCTTATTATATGTAAGTAATCTGTATGCGTGGTTAATGGTTATAGTTATTAACCGGCTTCCAAAGCGAGGAGGTTCTCAATTCGTCGGAATAATTTTTTTTATGTATATTCACCGATTACTCGAAAACGCCTGAACCGATTTGGAAAAAAATTGTTTTGTTTGAAAGCGTATACTTCCCAGGTAAATTTTATCGAAATCGGTCGAGCGGTTTTAAAAAAAAATCGACAATAAGTATATTTTTTTAAACAAATTGTTTAATCGAATATGTTATTAAAATTTTTCTTCTTACAAATTTCCTGCTTATTACGTCTACACTAAAAATATATAAAAAAAAACAAAATTTTTTTAATAAAAACCGACTTCCAGGCATTAAAATGTAAAAATAACTAAACGGGGGTTTTCATTTAGAATACACACCTAATCAGATATTTTCGAAGTTGGTGCCAGCCGACAATATTTTAAGATATGAATATCTAATAGGTAAATATGTATTTTACGTATAAAGGTATATTAGATTTCATATGCGTCAGCATTTTTCGTAAAATTAAAAAGATAACCATTGTAAAAACTATTGAAGACTATTGCTCTATCCTAAAGTTACTCTATAAAAAATATCTGAGATATAAATAAGTACCTGTATAAACAATCTCAGTTTCAATTTTATTCAAAATTAGAAGAATTAAATCACTCATTTCTTCTTCCTTATAATTCTTTAGGCATATAAAATTAAATTATTTTTGTAAAACTTCGGCAGTATGACGATGTGTCATTGGCCATTGCACTAGAGTGTAAATTATTAAGTATAATGCATGTAATAATGCAAAGGGAAGTGTTCAAAGTGGACATGTGATCCGAACGCGTCTTAAATGACTAATCTCACTAAATGCCGACTCCTTTACAAAGGTGAATCAATTAATTGACGGGATGCGTTAAGGCTGGGGGCACACTTGATGCAAAATATTTACTCCAGAGCGAAGAGAAAAAAAGAAAAAAATAACCAGTGACCCGTATATTTTTTTGTAATTATACTACTATTATAATGTAGTAAAGTAAGTAAAAAGTTTGTTATTCTTTCACGCTTTGAATGAAATAGAATATTACTTGAGGTTAAGTCGCTAATATCTCGCATACAAAGATAAAAACAACCTACGACACTCATCAATTATTAAATTAAATTAACTATATAGAAAAAAATATTTATAACATTAGTAAGGAGTTTTTATTATTGGTTAGATCGAGGTTCTTGCAAGAATCGCACAGGTTTCCTTCTTTCTGAGACAGAAATCTCAGTTTAAATGGCGTATTCCACTGACAGTCATTATATATTTTCCTAACTTTTTAACTCGTTGTGCCACTAGTAGTCCATCTGCTTATTGAAGCTCGAGCAGTCGTATCTCAATCTGCCGGTCGCGCGCGCGCATCAGACGTTATCAATTCAAAAGAAACTGACGTTTGAACTTGACGTTCTTTATAGATAATATAAAAAAAGGTTTAAAGAAATACATCAAGCTTAATGTATTTTTTGTCAATCATAAAAAAAAACAAAAGTTTTTTTTAATTAAATATTAATAATGTATTTATTAAAAATGGGACTATTTTGGGAAGTGCTTACATTAATTTTTATAAAGACAATACTGTGTGAAAAAGTTTTCAAAAGTGTTCCAGTGACTGTTAAAACTTATGAAAATGATTCTGTTCTGTTGCCTTGTTATGTGGATGATTCAGGTACTTTTTAAAATTAAAATTTAAATCTTTTTTATAAATAAGTACCATCAATATAATATTTGTACGTGTTAACATATTTTATTTTATACAAATACTTATAAGAATACTTTTTCTGTACCAAGCAAAAGTATTTAAACTGAAGCCTAAAATAAAATACATCGGCACGTTTCACTTAATTCTTAAAATAAAAGAATATCCAAAACTATTCATGGCTACGGATAAAATTTTATTTTTATTCCAAAAAGTTCAATCTACAATTAAAGTGCAGTTAATAATTTCAGTAAGTTAAGTTTGATAAAACGGTAGAATACTGCGTAAAGCTCTTACAACTTACTGACTGACAAAGCTTCCTGTTAAAGTCAAGGTGGAATGGTTTTTAAAACTGCCCTCAGAGCGGACTTACATAAGGGAGGAAAGTTTGTATGAAAGTTTAGTTATGAAGGATATTATGAAGAGAACTCTACTTACGTACCAAATCTTAAGCTTCGAATCAAACTTTTTGTGGCGCAATTAAAAGTAATATTTCATCTCTCTGCGATTTTATATTAACGTTTAGTATAGATTTCTCAGAGATGTAAAGTAAAAAGTATCCTATATGTTGACCCGGATAACAAGCTATCATCCCTGTTGAAAAACACCAATAGAATCCTATCAAAAGCGATAAAAGCCACATAGAAACCAATAAATATATTGGTTTCTATATGGCTTTTGTCGCTTTTGATGAGATCCTATTGGAGTTTTTAAATAGGGATCATAACAAATTTCATCAAAATCTGTTCAGTGGGTTTCTCGTAATGTGTTCCCAGACAGACAGACAAAAATTCAAAAAACTATAGATTCGGCCTCTATATCGATATAATGACTATTTTAATAAGATATTCCAAAAATATTTAATGTACAAATTCGACTTTGTAAGAATTTTATTATTTGTATATGCAGATAGATATTGATACTATTAAACCTCTTTTCAAAGGTACTTCTGTATAATGTATGTATAGACTTTTATGGATTCATATTTCAAGGTTTTCATTAAACAAACTGTCATTAATTAATACGATGCAATAACAAATGTACCAACAAGCTAACATTATAGTTAGTCATTTATTTTAACATTGTTGAATTATAAATATTTTTGTCGAACAATAGACGTAATCTACATCGGACGTAAGGTAAAGCTGTCGCCGTAAAAGCTTTACAAGGCACCTTTGCATAATAAAAGAGTAAATGCGCAGACGCATGATTTAAGCACGTTTTTAACAGTCATTTTTTTATTAATTCAGTAATGTTATTGTTATTGATTTTAGAATTTTACAGATTTTTTTGTGACTTTGATAGATAGGTACTTTGCCAGACATAAATATAATAATATATCAACTGACCACATTTTTCTTTATTATTTCTATTGAGATAATAATATTTATTATAATATGTCATTTACCAATTGCTATCAATGATAATAATCAAAGAAAATGAAGTAGCAATAAGTAATTGAATTCAAACTCTATTTTTTTTTTTATTTTACTGTTGCCAAAGAAATGATCAAGACTGTAAAATAACTGAATAATTTAACCAAAATTGGTAATTAATATACTAGCCGGTGAAGCCGATGTCCGTAATGCGTCCCAAATTTATGAACTAAATTCCTAAAACCTGTAGATTTGGCTTTCTTACATCTATATAAGCATCTGAGAATCAAATTTTTTACAATATTTAATGAAGCTACAACTGTAATACCATTACATGAACAAATTAGCCACAATTCGTTCACGTACGATTGTCGATTACAGTCTTACTTATTTATTACATAAGCGAAGAAAGAGGATATACATATAGGTGTATTTGTTAGATATTCTTTCATGCAAAAACTACTGTTATTGTTGTCTGTCTGTATGTCTGTTACCGCATTACAGAAAAACCACTGGAGGGATTTTGATGAAATTTGGTATGGTGATAGCTGGTTATCCGGGTCAACATATAGGATACTTTTTAAAGCGGGAAAATATCTCATTTCTGAGAAAAAAATACAATACTGCATTGTAAGAGTATACTAATATGTAAAACCTAAGAATTTGGTTTTTGGTCATCTAAACGCGGGCGGAGCCGCGGGCAATGCTAGTATTTTAATGTTTATGTAAATTTAACTTTTACGGTTTATTATACTCCCATAACTTGTCACGCATTTAAATAGTAATAGGCAGTAGGCTTAGTCCAAAACAATTTATTACATTTTCTTTTAGTACAAGACTAAAATCAAGTTATGATACGCTCAGTAAAATAAAGGCACCCTACACACTGATAGTAATTAATAATTTTTAAATTGTATACTATAATAATTATAGTTATTTAATTAATATCCTTAAGATTTTAATATTTAAAAGGTTTTGATTTTCGGCCCTTCAAGTTTTTTTGGTGTAACGTGTGTACCGATCAAGTAAGTCAGTTCTTTAAAACCGTAATCCTACTAATATACAATATAAACACGAAATTTTGTGAGGATGGATGGATGGCTGTTTGTTACTCTTACACGCAAAAACTACTAAACGGATTTTGATGAAACCTTACAGTAAAATAGATACACCAGTAGAATAGATTATACATGAGAGTAACACATATGCACAGAATAGATATACATAAATAATTGAACTACGCATGCGGAGCCGCAGGAAAAAGTTAGTTACATATAATAAAGTTATAGGAATGGTACAGAATTATATTTTATTCGAGTAGAATTTTACAAGTACTTTTGAATATTGTATGTCCAAGAGAAAGCTCTTATTGCTGTAGATTAAAGTATCCAATGAGTTGCCTTTAATTATATTATAGTATGGCAGTATTATGTTTATAGTGTAGATTAAGTATACAGAATGGTACAAACGAATAGGACATGAAAGAAAATAAATATAATAAAAATTGAATAAAATATTTGTATGCATTCATTTTTATTATTCAAAGTAAAAGAATGGTCCCTTTGAGTGAAGTTTATTTTCAATATTTTAATACTTTTCTTCCATGGCCCGTTCATTTGTTCCATTCTGTATAGTAAAACCGCCGCCATTAATAAAAACATAAATCGAATCAATAAATAAAGATATTTAATCATTCAACCTTTTTTATGTGATATCGATTGCTTAAAAACGATTCTTCTAAAGATTAAACTATTTTAAAAAAAAGACAGAAGGATCGAAAACGTTTGGTTTCGATTACAACGTATGCACGAAGCCTATAATTTTTAAATTAGTTTAAACAAATAGCCCTCCATAATTCTGTAGCCGTCATTTTATTAATGATTAGATTATAGTTCTGTGACTGTGTTTAAGCTATTTATTTTAACGCTGGACTTGTTTTTACCTTGTGTAATACAGCTATAATCATATTAGGTACTTATAGGGATCTTTTTATTAGATTTTTGTTTTTAATATGTAAGAACGGTCATTGTAATATATTTTTTATGTATTAGTTATAATTAATTTTGATAATAAAGTGAAATAAGTGGGTTCGATTTTCGTTTGCATCACCTAATTTTTATTGGACTGCAATATGATTATAGAATACATTTATTTTAGCATAGTATTCAATTTCATTCTATATGAAGTTGCAGGTTCGATTCTCGCGGATACTTACATTAAGTATCTAATTGGTAGAGAAAAAATCTTAGTATTCTTTTCAGATATACCTAACGATATCCACATTTTACTCAATAGTACTAATTCCTATATAGAAGAAAGATTTTTCTGTATCAAAAGTAAAATTTAAAAATGTTTTACAATATAAATGGCACACAGGATATGTATGAAACATTTTTTTTTTAAATAAAAGCATTCCACCATTGAAAACGATACATATCTGCAATTTGCGAGCGATCAGATACGGTAGAGGTTTATTAATTGACAAAAGGACAATAGCGCGACATATTTGTGCTGCACACGTTCTATACAATGTCCGTCGCCCTTGTCGGAAGAGCAGATCGAAAATTGTATGATGTGTTATGTTTATTTTTGGATATGGCAGTCTATTTATATATTTTTTGTAAGTAATAATTTTGTGTAACTTTGAACGTGCTTAAGTTTGGAATTGGCTTAATAGGCTTGCATCAATTTTTTTCTTTTAATATTTAATGGTTTGAATTATTATTTTTAGGCTATACAAAAAGAATACGATTTCTTTTTAATTTATGTATAATGGAGTGTAAGCTGTTTATATTTATAATATGTATGTATTTAAAGTTATATATGTGTAGTGTATCAACTATCTGGTATCCATAACACAAGCCTCGTAGCTTACCATGGAACTAGATGGTGCTGTGTGTTAATGTCCCAACATATTTAAAAAAAAAATAAAAAAAAATAAGGGAGTGGCCAAGCAACTAATAGGTTCGATTCCCAAGAAGAACGAATGTTTATAATACCGTTCAGGACGACACAAAGCGCCTTCGCTAGGTTAGCGCTCTAGGCCTTCCGACAGGAACATTTCGATCCTGTGTGGCTTTTTCGACCCTATTATTTTACTATTATCACTACACGATGTTTTTTTCATTTCAAAATATTTTATTCAGCATTAAATTATTACAGTTTTTTACTGAATGTTATGAGTCACTTAGTGTTACAGTATTTTTGAGTGCTTTTAAAAAGCACTCTTACTTTACTTTAATCATATGATTAAAGTAAAAGTTAAAGCGCGTTTGATACTTCTTCACGCAGAACGACTCTACGTTAAAATTCATGACTAAAATTAAAAACGAACTTTGAAAATTGGTTTTGTGTACATTTTAACTAACAATCTATCATTGTTAGAATTTTTACATTTCGCTTTTATTTACTGACATGAAGGAAAATTAAGCTACATAAAAGTTTTTTTAAAATAAATACCAATTTTTTTAAATAAATAAATACCTACAAAAAAGTTTTTTTTTAATAATTTTTCCTTAGAAATAGATTTTTTTCCAGAACCACCCATCAAGATATATCTATAATAATCCATTCATTAAAATATATTAAAATTAATTTATAATTGTATTGAGGAAGATATGGCGTAACATGCACATAAAAAAATTATAAACTTGAGTAATTCTCTTCCTTTTTGAATGACAACATCTATAATAAAAAAATGAATCGCGGAATGTGTTGCTAAGCGCAAATCTCGATAGCGAGACTTTACATGGCGCATAACTCAAAAAAAGGAATAAATAACGAAGAAGTAAATTTTAATAAAAAGAACTAAATCTATACTAATATAATAAAGAGGTATGGTTTGTGAGTTTGTGAGTTTGTGACGTTGTAGGGGGTAATCTCTGGATCTACTGAACCGATTTAGATGAAATTTGGTAAGAAGATAGTTTGAGACTCTGGGAAGGACATAGGATACTTTATATCCCGGAAATCATCCCTTAGGGAGGTGAAAATGGAGATGAAAGCTTGTATTGGGAACCAATGTGTTGTAATAAATTAAAATCATAGTTTATGAAATTAACATTTAGTTTTTTATACATTTAGTATAACTTAAATCTTTTATGAATTATCACGCACAATTCTTATTGCCCACTAAAAATTGGTAATTTATTATAGTACGTTCTAATTCTATATTTTAAGTATAAAATATAAAGAGAGAATGGGGTCTCATTATTCTTTGTCTCTTTCTATCGGGATATCACATTTTTGATCTGCTTGCAGTTACCTATTATTTTTGTTAGTTAACTGTTATGTTAAAGCTACGAATTTATAGATGCATAGTAATTATTTTATTAGCTATATAAAGAAAATGGCAGTATTAACTTTAAAAAAATGTGTGCCAGCTCCGACGCACGACTGGAGTTTACCCTCACAAGAAACAGAATGTTTGATAATTTAAAAAAAATAATTTTATTATTAAAATTAAATTAATAATATTATATATATATAATTATTATATAATTAATATGTCTTATAAATTATATTTAAAAAAATTAAAACCACGTGACATCTTTCAAAGTGAAAGATGCCCAAGGTACGATGCACAGAAAACTACGCTTCTGAGAATTAATACAAGAGTTATCTTGTATTAATTTCAATCCTCATAAAATTTCCATACCGGGGGCCTTAGTATATGAAAACGATTCTAAAGGAGTAAACTCCAGAAATAAATGCCGCCTCCAATAATATTACACGACATTCCTGTATTATTTGGCTTGTTACAAACAGGAAGAGAGCATAGATTCAAATCTTTGTGTACCAATTGCGCGTCAATCCCCATGTACTTACACTAATAGATGAATAAAGAACAACGTTACGTTGAAGAGGGTCTTGGATGATTATATTTTAGGGAAAATATGTTTTATTTATATTTTACTAACGTCTTTAGGTGACTTTTGTGTTTTTAACATTACCTACATACAACTAGCGACTCACCCTCGCTTCGCTCGGGTTCGTCCCTAGCTTCATTCCCCATACAAACGTTCATCCCCGTTTTCACCCCTTAAGGGATGATTTCCGGATAAAAAGTATCCTATGTCCTTCCCAGGGCCTCAAACTTTCTTCTTACCAAATTTTATCTAAATCGGTTCAGTAGATCCAGGGATTACCCCTCACAACGTCACAAACTCACAATCTCACAAACTCACAAACTTTACATCTTTACCTAAAATTTACCACTACCTTGTGGTAAATTTTATCACTAAGAGTACTGAGTAGCTTATATATGCATACATACATACATACTTAAAAATATTAATTTTCTTCTGGGGCAGTTATTATGCAAACGGTACTAACCAAAAACTTAAACCGAAAAGATTTTCGGTTTAAGTTTTTGGTTAACGACACAAAGCGGCTTAAAAATCTGAACGGGTTTCCGAGCCCTTGCATTCGGTACTCGAGATTTGAATCGCATCACTTTATTTTCCAAACAAGAACGTTACCACTGAGTTACCAGTCCCTATTTGACAAACACGAAGTTTTTATACATTTTATAATAAATTTTCGGATTTTTTTCGAGAATTTATTTTGATTTTTGGTTTCGATGTTTCGAATGTACATCATAGTCTCGGGAGAGACTTCGGACTACCACGTTTTGTTGTAAAGCATTTAAAATGTCAAATATTCGCGTAAATGTAAGAAAGTATAATAATTATTATTTGTTTACAGAAACGCAGCTTCGCGTCCGCTGGTACAAAGACAACGCACTGCTAGGCGACAGTCACGACCCGAACCACTTGTTGCCGCCGCGCACGCGTATGCACGCCAACTACAGCTTACAGATAGATGATCTTGTATCGAAGGATACTGCTGATTACACTTGTGAGGTAGGACATAAATATACTTAGATTTAAAATTATTATTAAAAAAATGCTTTTCACCAAATGTAGGTAATTGCGGAACACGTCAAAACCATCAAATGAGCCCGAACTTGAAAGTGTTCGTACTTATCTATTGATGAGTTTCATTTTCCACTTCCTGGCTCGCATCAGATGAGGTCGATAATATCAAGTTATTGCATTTACCGACATATTTTCTAATACAGAATTATAGATTTTTAAATGTTAATTCTATTGATATAAAACACATATTTTACTTCAAAGCAGTTGGAAAAATCTATCTTAGAAATAAAGTATAGTTAGTTACAAGTGAAGCTTATAAAATGTGTTAAAAATTACGTCAAAGTACTTGCTTTGCGTAATGAGCAAGTTTTACAAATAATTCCAGTCCAGCTGAATGAATTCTTGAGAAGATGAGACTCTCGAAGAAAGTTGGAGTTAAAAGTTACTGTCTTGGTATATATAATATATAATATATAATTCGGATTCGGCTTAATTAGAATTTTATTATATGTATAGGTTTTTTTAACGCAGTTATCATTAATATATAATATATAATAGTAGTTAATAATAAATTAGAAGGTAGAGGAAAATGTTCATGACCATTATTTAAAGGTATATTAGGTTTTTCTGTAATTTTCTTGTATTTTTCCTAATCTGCGAGAGAGACAAAATATCATTTTCTAATAAAAACTTTGGATTTTTGCTTCTAGATTAAGATCCGCACTATTTTTTATTCTATATATTTTTTTTGGTTTTTTATTTAATATTAATTTCAGTCAAATATGAATCATTTATTATTAATATTAAATATATATTTAAGTCAAAAATGATACACGTATTTATAAAATAATGTAAATAACATAATTAAATAATTTATAGAGTTCATACTACGTAGTACGTATAAAACTTTAAAACTCTCTCATGAAACTCAATTCAAATAGCTAATACTGGCCTATTTTTTATCTCCTTTAAACTTTTTATCGTCCATAGAGATTAAATTGTGTAAAATTGAGCTATAGTTCAAGTAACTTTTAGTTCTACAACCAATTTAGTCGGCTTAGCCCTTTGCTTTGCCTCTTAACTAACTCTATTTAAACGTAGTGATGTGTATATATCGATTAAAATATTATTATTTTTTTAATTTAGAAATGATTTAATAGTAATAAAAACGGCATTTAATTTTATATTCTGGGCGTAACTAACTTAAAGTTATATACCTAAATAAAAAAAATACATCTGATACTAAAGTTTTAACTTTCAAACTTATTTAGTAAAATAAAAATAAAAATGTTCACATCGTCATACGATTGTTAATATAAAATAAATTTGAAAATGTTTTCATTCATTTTAAAATAAAGTATATTTAGAACAGAAATGATTTTTTTTAAAATAAACAAAATAAAGTGGGTTAAACTGTACAAAATAACCGAAAAAAAAAATTTATTTTTCTTTAAATCAAATTCGAATATTACCTATGTATATTATCTATAGGTACTTATATTTATATATTATCTATACTCTATAGTCTTTACTACCATCTTTTTTCTGTCACAGCACTAAACGTCAGTTCGTATAAAGTATGGAGCAATTACACAATTAATCAATTTGCCCAACTGTTTCGCGATGACCATCGCTACCCGTATCTACTATATAATTAACTTTGTAAAACACTAAAATATAACGCTTTGTTTGTTTTAAAATAGCCATTGGAGTAGACATTATTTATTACAAACGTTTCTTTTTTAGTTAAATAGGGCAGTTGAAAAGTGAAAAAAGTGCTAGTTAAAAAATTAAAAAATATATAAAATACTAGCACAAACCGCGGTTATGCCCGCGTTCAAACGACAAAAAACTCTTTGGCTTTATGTTGTATTTATCGATATAATATTGTTCCTACAAATATTTGTCTACTGTATTTTTGTTCAACTAAAATCAAAAAAAGGGGAGTGGGGATAGGTACCGTTTCGGAGGAGTACCTACTACTGCGACCACAAATACCACGACACGAGATATTTATATATTGATAATTCCTACTTAATAAATATGATTCTATTATATCACAGCTAATAATATATTATGTTGTAATTAAGGTATATTGGTATGGTATTGGCACCATTGCTGATTCGTATGCCAAGACTTAACTTAAGAATGAATCAACATTGACAAAGTAAATGTTTCTACAGAAAGGTGCATGAATAAATAACTATATATCTATCGTAATGAAAATAATTTTTCATTTACTATAGATATATATTTTTTTATGATTTTTTTCTTCTGATTTACTTTTATGAATATTTACCGCCAAAAAAAAAACAAATGGCATTACACTTTTTTATTTATTTATTTGAATTTTTATACTATATAAAAAATATAAAAGCGAAAAACCTAAATATACATTAAGCTGTTTGAAGTCCAAAAGAAACATTTACGTACGCGCAGCAAAGTGGGCGAGTGACTGCGAGTTCTATATAATTATACAATGAACTAGCATTGCCCGCGGCTCCGCCCGCGTTCAGATCACAAAAATCATATTCTTAACTCTTAGGTTTTACATATTAGTATACTCTTACATTGCAGTTTTTGTATTTTTTCTCAGAAATGAGATATTTTCCCGCGGTAAAAAGTATCCTATATGTTGACCCGGATAAGCAGCTATCACCATACCAATTCAGATTCGGCTTAGTTAGGATTTTATTATATGTATAGATTTTTTTTAACGCAGTTGTCATTAGCATTGCTTCCTGTAATGGCCATGGTTGCTGGGATATTAAGGTTTTCTTCAAAAATCCTTAAGAAATCCTCATTTGTGTGTTCCTCATTTTGTTCTGTCGAGCCGAACCTAGTTGCGCGTCCAATACCACATTTCAAACAGTCCTACTAGATATTTTATAAAAATATGTTTTAAAGAAATTTAGGATAAAATCTGACAAACTTTTTTCTAGAATTTGTGTCTATTATTAATTATTATCGACATTAAAAAGTAGGGACTTCAATTGACCGAGTTTTGTTCTGTGCTTTTTTGACGATGTTTTCGTCCATTTTAAAATGATTTTCATTATGGTTTATTTTGTGTATTACCTCTTTTATGCCCACCTCCTATAAAAAAATCAAGAATATACCCAATAATCATTTTATTATTACAAGTTATTCTCCATTTTTATGACAAGAGACGGCTAAGTAGCAGAGTAAAATCGTCAAAATATGTTTAAATTTTGTTTTCTTTTCATTAATCATTCAATATTTCTATATCCGGATATAGCTATTGGCGGAAGTCGGTATTTAACGTTGTCATACGAATAAATTAGTTCCTCGGTACATCACTAATTAATTAATCAATCAAGTGGAATGAATACTGTTACTATGGAAATATGTTTAACTATATATGGTCATATATATATGTTGTATATACCTAAATAATTGTCTCGTGGCGTAGTGGGTAGCATGTACGGCTGCCAAATCGGTTCTGGGTTCGACTCCGGGGTCGGGCTAAGTCAATTATGGAATTCTTTTTGTTTGGAAAGTCTCAATAACGGTCTGAAGTTGGGAAGTTGGTGATGTTACACCCCCGTGTCTCGAAAAGCAGGTAAAGCCATCGGTCCTACGCTGGGTCATCTTATCCCATCATGGCTCATCAGTCGTCTCGAATTGTCGTCTCATCAGAGTGTGACTTGTGAGAGTTACAGGGATAGAGGGTGCACTTGTGTCTTCGCGCATACTTGTGCATTTTAATATCTCCTGCGCAGTTGGCTAGACTCAATGAGAATAGGCTTAATCGGACATGAGGACATCATATACCTACCTAAATACATTTATATGAAACTATCTTTTCGAATTTTTTCGCGGATTTTTTTTATTAAAGTTAATTTTTTTTTTGTTGTCAAAAGTTCAAAATTAATCCGCAAAAAAATTCGAAAATATACTTTTATATAAAATTTCTAATATTCATGTAAATCTAAGAAAGTATCAAATTTAAATGTTTTGAAGTAGTCTGTAGTACCTAACTAAATTTCTTAGGAATAACGTTCTACGTGAAGCCATTAACAATTTATACATATCTGTCCAAAATCTATGGCTTGGATAAAAAATATCATACTTGCTACTATAATCGTTGAAGAATATAATTAAAAATAGTGTTAAAATGACAAATTAAATAATTATGTTATAGAAAATATATGATTCCCATTATTTTTATATTTATCTTTTTTAATAATTGTAGAACGACTTTAGACTTCTTTTATAAAGCCCCAGATATATTTGAAAGATAATTTTGAAACCTTTAAGAAACGAGAGTAATAATAAACTCTTTATTATACCTACATCAAGAACAAAATAAAAATAAATAAAAACAAAACAGATAGATAATGTACATTGTACAAGAGGCGTCCTTATCGCTAAAACAGCGATCTCTTCCAGGCAACCTTTAGGTGTAGGAAATAGCAAACTGTTAGAGGGAAGGGATGCAAATAACAGGGTTTAAATCATTATATATATATAAAAAATATGTAATTTAGAGTTTTATTTTATTTACTTTTTTATTTGATTATTTTATTTCATTTCATTTTCAGGTTATAAGACAGGAGCCATGGAAACCAATACGACAGACGCATTCTATAGAAGTGCAATGTGAGTCATAACTATTGCTATATCATTATTATTTTTTTATATTCGTTTGCGATATAGCCAGGCTTAAGTAATATTATTTTACTATCTACCAGTTCACATAATACATTTATCTACCAAATTTTAGCCATATAGCTCCAATAGCCATCGAGCAAATTGAGTGTGACATACGGACAGACGGAGATGTCGAAATTATAAGGGAATCATATAAATTATAATAACTAAATATGATTAAATTACGTTTTTTGAGTGGGTATAGTACAATACGTTAGGTCTTCCTCTGTAACAATGGTTAACCATAAAGGAGACCGATATGTATTATTAGTTATTATATATAGCCGATATCGACTGTGTTGGTTTTTGGTTAGAATGTTCATGCAGAAATATTATGTACAAATAGGCATAGCTTTTAGCTTTAATAATAAGTTAAAAACTAAAATAACAAATTTCATCAAAATCTGTTCAACAGTAAACATCCCAACATCTATTATATTAAGTATATTATTAACATATTATTTTATGTTAGATGCCCCTACAGTCCGGACTTTACCGTATGACGGATATCTCGAAGTGAAAAAGGGTGATTATGTGGACATTGGGTGTGAGACTACGGGGACTCCCGCACCCATTGTGAATTGGCGGAAAAATGTAAGATTTATTTACTTAGAAATTATATTACAATAAAATGCTTAATTTTTATTTTGATTTTTACTTAGAAATTTTAGAATTAAAATATTTTTAGATTTATAAGCGTTTGTATTGAAGTTGTTCAAAGATAACATTACCGAATAATAAATTATACTTTAAATATGTTAATATGTAATCACATTTAAATTAGTCTGAAGGACTGTAGAGATTATGATATAAGCAAGAAGATACGAATAAGGCAGTGAGTGGTAGCGAGTTCAAATTCCGGGTCTGGCAGCTCTGATACTCTCATGTGAAAAATATGTTCTATATGATTACCACTTGCCTTACAGTGAAGGAAAACCTGTATGTCTAAGAGAACCTAACAAGTTTTCGAAAAACATGTGAAGTCCGCCAACTCGTACTTGGCCAGCGTGGTGGACTATAGCCTGATCCCAATAGTATTGAAAGGAGGCCCGGCCCACCCCCAGCAGTGGGACGTTGAGGATTGAATACGACATAAGTTAATATACCTAAGTAACTATATACAAAAAGTAGTTTTATTCCATGTTATATACAAAAGATGCGTCTAACAAATTCGTTAGAATCTAATGGAATGGTGGCTGATGGTTTAATTGGGACTTAGCTTTAATTTAAGAAACTCGCAAGGCCTTGAACTGATTAACATGTTTTGTCGATCTCTATTTTTGTTTGATAATTCTATTTAAATTAAAAGTACGACATCTATTTGTATTCAGCCATTTTTTAACTTCCCCCTGCTGGGGGTGAGCCTCCCTTCAATACTATAACATATTCAATAATATAATAATAATAAGAGGGGGATCAAGCCATAGTCCATCCTTATGGTGAATTTTTTACCCTACTGCGACAAAGCTCAAATGAGGGTTATGTATTTAAACTCTATGTTTACATGTTTCTTTGTCCGACTCTATGTTCCTCGTCGTCAAACTCATCAACCGCTGAACCAATTTTGATAAATTATACGTTGTTAGATAACAGACAACGCAAATTTATCAAAAGATATATTAAAATTATCGATAATTTAAAATTAAAATAAATACGGATTTTAGGCGCCAATTTGGGCGTCTTGAAAATCATTTCCAATCTAAATTATTTTCTTTCGTCACATATATGATAAACAATAAGAACAGACTTCAGATTAACAAAGTTATTCTTTTTGCGCTGTAGACATGATTTTTTGTTATTATTTTGTATGTTACTATGAAAAGATATAAAAATATTTTTTAATTTCCTTTTTTATATCAGGGTGAGCCAATGGCGATATTAGAGCACAGGTCGCGGCTTCGATTCCGCGCCGAGCACCGTCTCTTAGCAGGCGTGTACGAATGTACGGCTAACAATGGTGTGGGAGATCCTGTGACAGCTGCTATTACTGTCATTATACAAGGTACCTAATCCTTTAATAGTTTTTTTAGTATAAATAGTATAAATAGCTATTAGCTAGCGTTAGTCATGTAATTTTTTTCGATTTTTTTTCCTGCTATTCGGGGCTGAAGCTAATCCAACAAATCAAACAACTTAATAATCGGTCCAGCCGTTCTTGAGTTATAAATGGTGTAACTAACCCGTCTTTGTTTTATATGTATACATATTAATCTATAACATTTATAAATCGAGAACTGCTGGACCGATTTTCATAGTTTTTGATTTGTTGGATTTATCTCCGCCCCGAATAACAGAATAATTACTAAAACATCGAAAACATTCATGAAAAAAAGAAATCTATTCCATACTAAGCGTCAAAACGTAGATATCTAGGAAAGAAATTGAGCGAAGCGAGGGTGAGTCGCTGGTTTTATATATTTTGTTATTTACAAAACATTACAGACGCGCCTGTAGTGACGACAGACCGTAGTTTCGTTCACACAGCGTTAGGTCTTCGGGCGGTTCTAGCCGCTAAGCTAGACTTCGCGATACCTCCGGCTCGAAGTGCCTGGTATAGAGACGGGAAACCGGTTAAAACTGATGACAGGTGAGTTAGGTTACCAACCATATTATTTATGTAAATCTAAGGTAGTTTACATAAAAACGTCCATACAAAGACCAAAATAAAACCTTTTTTTCGGATTTTTTCGCGGCTTCTCTTTTGACCATGATTGCTGTAAAGCATTTGAAACATCCAAACCAAAAATCAGAAAAATGTCCTCAAAAAAAAACAAAGTCAAAAAGAGCAGCGTGATTTGCTGTTTATGCTTCAGCGTTGTTAAGTTTCTTTAAAGAATATGGGAAATTTTATATAACTTGTTAGAGACCTGGTGGACGTATAAATAAAAGTGGACTGTAAACAATAATTTAATTCTGGACGTTGATTAACAATCTCGTCGTCTTGATTACGCGTAAATTACATAAAAAAGGAAAAGAACATGATTTATTTAAATTAAGGTGTCGATCGTCTTGTCGGCTATGCTTCTAAATGCGTGTGAGCACCTACTGGTCGCTCGTCGTGACTCATAATTGTGCATATATCGAAGCGCAACATAACTTTTACTCGTTAATTTACAATTTTTGAGAAGAAAATATAAATTCATGTTAACAGTAACGTATTTGTACATATATGTATCCTCACGTAATATGTACATATACCTACTTAATATGTTTTATTTTAACTGTTTTATTCATATTTAGTTCTATGGACTATGACACTATCTATATTATTCCTTAGTCTGAAGATCTGGAATATATTTTGAAGTTTATGGCGAAAATCAATCACGATTAAAGCGAAAATATGACTTCACCCTTTTATTTGGACCTTCCTGAAGTAAATATACCTATTCTAATTTTCTTTTCACTAAATTTTCGAATTAATTTTCTTTGAAAACTTTTTTTTAAATGAATAGTATTAATTAAATTTAGTGCACAACATAACGTAAACAAAAAATTCATATTGAATCTACTATTTAGAAGTCGGTAAAATAAAACCACGCTCTACATGGGAGGTATAATGGCGTTAATAAATATTGCCATATCTAATCGATCGATTGAAATAATAGTTCAAAGTAAAAACTAATTTACAATATCATTGAATATGTGTTATTATTATTGATAATAATTAATTATTCTAATAAACAAAAAAGACTATTTGAAATTCGTCAAACTAGAGTTATTTAACTTTCTCGAGTAGGTAATATTATAAGTGCCCAAACAGATATACACAATAAGAATATGTATATAAAAATCGTATTAAAATTAGGCTATTGGAATAAATAGACGTCTATAATGCCAAATACCGTAAACTAGTCTAAATTTTTTTAAATATTTAATACCTACAAAATAACAAATTTTTCTACTTCTTTTTTTTGAGAATTAAATTCTAAAATCGATATGGAAATAAAAAAAGGGTGTGTGTACTCATGTACACATGTAAGAAATTGTTTTTCTTTGTTTTTTTTTAAATCATATGTTTTTTTGGTATTCTTCTCAGAAAACCCTTCCATTTAATATCCATAACATGGGGGTGCATAAAAAAAAACAGTCCGCCATATTTGGGAGTCCGCCATTTAACCCAAGAATTAACGACTAAGTTCACACTTAAATCTGTCACATCTTAAAAAATTCAGTCATATAAATATTTTCATAAAACAAGTTCAACTTCAAAAATGTATTCTTGATATTTTAATTATGAATTTTTACATTATTTTCTAGAGTAATAATAATGGTGCAAGAGAATCTTCATCAGCTAATTTTCCGGAATGTTAGGAAATCCGACTTCGGAAACTATACTTTTAGGGCAGAGAACAAACTGGGCATGGCCGATGTCGCATTCAAATTGACTGGTAAGTTTTATTTTTCCCATAAATTTATTCCGTGGGATTTGTTTTATTTGGTCGTATTAGATTAAAAGGATAGAATTAGAGAAGAGGTGGAAAATGCTACTGTTTTGTAGTTATACTATCAAAACCTTCGAGGCTGCGATTTAGGATTGGGGACTCTGCCCCTAGCGGAGTGGGTGGTATTTCTGGATAAGGGACGTGATAGGAAGTCGAAATGTTAAATAAAAATTGTCCGCGAACATATGAGTAAAAATTTATTGAGACTTAAAGTTACAACATTTCCATACATTATTTTGACATTACTACCATTTAGACACTTGGAGTCAAAACGTCACTTTCAATTGTCAAAATAATCTCCAGATGATTGTCTTTATTTGTACTTTGCGTGAAATTCGAATTTTCTAGTTTTCTAGTCATTTATGGCAACTGTTCTAACCTAACCTAACCAAGATATGAGGAATAATAAATAAATAATCTTAAATGTTCTAACCTAACCTAACCCAGATATGAGGAATAATAAATAAATAATCTTAAATGTTCTAACCTAACCTAACCCAGATATGAGGAATAATAAATAAATAATCTTAAATGTTCTAACCTAACCTAACCCAGATATGAGGAATAATAAATAAATAATCTTAAATGTTCTAACCTAACCTAACCAAGATATGACGAATAATAAATAAATAACCTATGTCTTAAACTAACCACGATGTCGCAAAATAAAAACCAAAGTAAATAATACATTTAGATTTTAAAAATAGTCTACTCACGTTTATAAATTGTTTAAACTAACACTATGAACACTTAAAACTATAAAAATAATATTAAAACAAAAACAAGAAACGAAAGTATATAAAAATTAACAAAAACTAATAACTAATGGAAAATAGTGAAAATACACAGAGTACAGAGTCACAAATTATGAAACTTCGCGGTATTTTAAGAACACCCGCCAATAATACTGAAAAATATTCACAGATAAAAAAATGTTTTTTTTTTTACTAAATGTACAATTGTAAAACAATATATTTTACATAAATCAGATAAAAAATCATAAATGTATTTATGAAATGAAAATAATATTTTTCTTTTTATTTATTTATTTATTAATATTAATATTTTACCAACAGAAAAAGCAAAAATAATCAAATATAATCTGTTGTCATTTAAGCGGTAATATAAAACAAAGTGTCAGTTTTGCTTTTGTCAAAATGTAAGATCGTTTTGTTTGTGTTGTGAAATTATTAAAATATTAAATACAATAAAGCATTAATTGTTGTGAAAATGTGTAATGTACATAAAAAAGGATGCGTACTATTCGTTAAAGGTATGTTTATCTGTTGTAATCACTTATTTAGGTAAAGAAATGTATGGAAATGTGTTAGATATGTTATAACTTGTAAGTCTCAATAACTTTTTACTCGTACGTTTCCTCCAAATATTTTTAATATATTTTGACTCTCTGTCACCTCCCCTATCTAAAAATACCACCCACTCCGAATGGTGGTAAAGAAATATATGAAAATGTATGGAAATGTTGTAACTTTAAGTCTCAATAACTTTTTACTCATACGTTCGCGGACAATTTTTATTTAACATTTCGACTCCCTATCACGTCCCTTATCCAGAAATACCACCCACTCCGCTAGGGGCAAAGTCCCCAATCCTGAGTTTGTGCCACCTTCGAATCGAATTTGATCTCATTTGCATCGTTGTGACAAACATTACAGCTGGTTAAAAGCGTGTTTTTTAGTTATTTAAAGGTATAAGTATAATACTTTCTTAGATTTACGCGAATATTTGACATTTTAAATAAAACTATCTTTTCGGATTTTGTCGCGGATTTATTTGTATTTTTGTTTCCCGACGTTTCGAATGCTTTACAGCATCCATGGTCACGGGAGAGACTCTCCCGTCACCAGTCAGTCTCTCCCGTGACCATGGATGCTGTAAAGCATTCGAAACGTCGGGAAACAAAAATACAAATAAATCCGCGACAAAATCCGAAAAGATAGTTTTATTTAAAAGGTATAAGTAATTATATTTCATACACCTAACACCTTTGTTTCTTGTAAATGGAAATGTGTGGAATTAAAAAGTTTACTCATATGCGGACTAGCTATAATGTTATGTTAAAATTTAAAATTAAAATTTTACTCGGTATTTAAAAGAGCAACTGTTGAGTTTTTCTTGGGCTCTTCTTGGAAGAACTGCCTTCCGAGCCGGTGGTAGCTTCCTCACGGATTGACTCCATTTAAATTATACTAACGATTCAAAAATGCGTAATAAGTCTGATTGAATAAAGTAATTTTTATTTTTATACACAGGTGTCCCAAACGTGGCGTCTTTCAAAGTAGAGCCAGCACTAAATAAAGCGTCGCCGACCAGCTTTACTCTCATTTGGGAAGTTGATTCATACTCAACTATTATAGGTACGTTATTTTTATCGTGGTTTTGAAAGATATTTTCTTAATTTTTCAGAGTTTTTTGTAGTCAGTTCTATTAAAAATATATATATGTTACAAACATTTGTGGAATAAAAAGTATCTGAAAAGGATGATGGATGATGAGGAGGTGACCCTACTTGCTGTACTAGCGGTCGCGGCTTCGAATCCCGCTGGGGGCATTCATTTTGTGTGATGAGCACGAATGCTTGTACTCCAGTCATGGGTGTTTATATTTATATGTATGTATTTAAAGTTATATATGTGTAGTGTATCAGCTATCTGGTATCCATAACATAAGCCTCGTAGCTTACCGTGGAACTAGATGGTGCTGTGTGTTGATGTTCCAACATATTTATAATTATGATAGTTTGAACACAGATGGACCATGTTCTGAATTTAAGATATAGTATAATTTTATTTCCAGTAATGTGTTCTATGAAATAGTAGTCAATTTTAGATCAAAACTTGTCAATAGATGGCGCTGCTTAAAAACATTGCAAAGAAAGAATTGAAGTAGCTTATACCATATATATATTATTATCTTTATTTTAATATAAAATTTAAGAAGAAAAAAAATAAACGTCCCCTGGCTTTGTTCGGGTGCCTCCCTAGATGTCTTTTGTATGTATAATTATATGTATAAATTTATTATAATATACAAACAGCACCACCTTTTAGCGAAACTTACTGTATACAATATTATTTTAGAACATAGTTTATCAGTAGGTATGTACCATAATATATATATATATATATATATATATATATATATATATATATATATATCCAAATTTTTGTGTGAAGTAGCAAACACACACACACACACAAAATTCGTCTTTTAAATAATAAAACAAATGCCTGTAACAAATTATTATAATATGACCTTTGAGTCGTCTATAACGTCAGTCTCTCCCGTGAAAATGATTGCTGTAAAGCATTCGAAACGTCGGGAACCAAAAATCAAAGTAAATCCGCGAAAAAATTCGAAAAGATTTATTTAAAATGTCGTATATTCGCGTAAATCTAAGACCGTATTATGCGAACATTCGTTATTATTATAGTAGCTATATTTATTTAAACAAATATCACTTTTTTTCAGAATACCATCTCTGGCTGCGTCCTTACTACGGCCGACTGTCCACAGCTGAGCCGGACTCCTTCACAACGATCCCGCCAGCTAACACTTGGAGTAATATCGTAGTCCCGGGGGATTCTAGTGACGGTAGTATTATTAATTATATCCATAATAATATTATAAATACAAAAGTAACTGTCTATCTGTCTGTCTGTTATCTTTTTACGCTAAAACCGCTGAACCGATTTAGATGAAATTTGGTATGGAGATTTTGAGACCTTGTGAAGGACATTCGATAGTATTTTCCTGGAAATCATCCCTTAAGCAGGTGAAGGGAGGGAGAGAGGGGGGGGGGTAGGGTCTAGGAATTTTTGTATGACTTCGATCATTTCTTTAGTAAGAGATATAATACACATTATACCTATGTGTATGATATAGTCTATCTATTCCATAATAAGCATCACGTACCATTATCCCTTTTCGCAGGTTACAATAAATAATGAAAAAAATCAAAATACCAGTATTAACGTTAGTACCGTTAGTACATAGTAATATTATAAGTGAGTTTCTTTTTTCGTCTTTTTACATAAACAAAGACATATTATATAACTGTTCCGTACATGTGGAGTAGAAATCTGATTAAAAAATTATCAAGAAATTATTTTATTAAAAATTATTGTGTATTTAATAGATTGTGATATGTACTTGTAATACCTATATTTTTTTTTTCAGGTCCCATCCACAGTGCGACGTACACAGTACGCGGTTTAACGCCATCTACCGTCTATGAAGCCATCGTTACTTCTAGAAATATGTGAGTAATATAATATACATACTGATATCATGGTCTTTTCGTTATCAAAGAATATGTATTGAATTTAAGTCTCTCCCGCGACCATGATTGTTGTAAATCATCCGAATCGTCGGAAACCAAAAAGCAAAATAAATCCGCGAAAAAATCCGAAATGATAGTTTTATTTAAGTTTTTAATTATTTGTGAAAGTTAAAAAACACAAAAAAAACAAAAGGTATATTCTGATTTAAGAAAAAAAAGGTAAAGAAAAATTAAATAATGTGTTTTAGCTTAAATTTTCGTAAATAAACTAACAAGTTTTGAAAAATCATTTGTTACGTAATGAATTATATAAACTAGTGTTGTATAAACTTTGCTAATATAATATAAAGATTTTCAAAGAGCGCAGTATGTTTTATAAATACCTATGTGTAATATATTATATGATATATGTGCTTTGTTACAGATTTGGTTGGAGTAAGCCTTCAGCTGTTTTACATTTCGCAACGGAGCCTGGAGGTTAGATAACATTTTAACTTTAATTTAAAATTGTATAAAATTGCTTGTGAGTAATTCAATAATATAAATTATAGTGTTCTTGACATAATCACGCGAAAACTTAGCTTAATATTTATACATATAATAAAATTCTAACTGAGTCGAATCTGTACATCAAATATTTTTTGGAAAATCTTATTGAAATAGTCATTATTATCGATACAGAGGCCGAGTTTTAGGATTTTTGTGTCTATGTGTCTGTCCGGGAATGTATCCCGAGAAAATCACTGGACAGATTTCCATGAAATTTGGTATGATGATAGCTGGTTATCCGGGTCAACATATAGGATACTTTTTACTGCGGTAAAATACCTCATCTCGTAACTAGGGACGAGGGTGAGTCGTTAGTTTTTCATAAATTTAATAACTCTGTTATAAAAGAATATTTATAATATAGAATTTTTAAACATGATCCCATAGAATAAGAGTTTTACTTAAACAATAGATGGCGCTGCTCCAAAATTCATGCATGAGTGGACAAAAGCAAGTTTGAACTTTAAAATATTTTTCAGTTGGGAGGACTCTCCCTTCTACAGCAGATTACACCGACATTACTCCCGTATTAGAAGAAGAGTTGGAACAAGCGCACAATATAACTCAAGCTCACGTCTTCGAAAGATTAAACGAAATGTCAAACAAAGCGCGCGAAACGCCATCTTTAATCGCCATGTTTATTTCTACTGTCATATTAACATATTTGATAAGTTAGATTAAAAATAGAATTTATATACTCAATTTAATGTAAATATTATAATGTTTGATTTCATATATTTTTTTAATTTAAATGTAATTGAATTTTTTTAATATATTTTTGTAAATAAAGTAATAAATGGAGGTTATTAAATAAATAATTTTAAGCATTTATATCTTTGTCATCAAATCCCCTTGATTTTTTATTTTCCTTTCGATTATTTATTTTTTACTGTTACATAATTGGTATTCGGGCGTGACTACTGAATTTCATATTATAATATATACATTACATAGCATGAGATGTTTTAGCTTTTAAGGGTCTATTGCACATAACGTTTCAAAATGTAGTAGCGCAGATCATGAACCATAACAATAACCTCACCATTACATATCCACATCACTTTGGATATTCTATATAAATTTAAAAAATGAAGATCGCTTTAAATATATCGAAAAATATGCACGTCGACAGCGTGTTAAAAGCACGCATGTTGCATAGGGCAAATTATAATTTCAATTATTTATTTTTATTGATTTGTTATATATTTAATATTAACATATATTAAGATTTATTAACTTCAAAAATGAATTCCATACCTAACTGTAACATTCATTTTATCTCTTAATTCTTTATGATCTATGATGGTCTAGAGGTTCATTTCTTAGCACAACAAAAAAGGAATCTATAAAATAATGAGAACTCATAATTCCGGTACGATTATTTATTTATTTATTCATATTTTAATTACATTTATCATTGTTTAAATTGTCCACATTTTTCATTTCTATGAACATACATAGACTTTGGTTTTCATTTAAATGTGATCTTACATAGATATATACGTATAGAACACTAAAACACTGATAATCTTAATTAGCCTACAGTAAGTAAAAGTCTCTTTAAATTTCTAATTAGCTTTAGATAAAAACAGGAAATAAATCAGATGATGTGATATATTAAAAAACAGTTAAAATACTTTTTAAAATCTTAATTTTTCAAATTTTAATGCAGAGTAACGATTAAGAAAATGCTTTGCGTTTAAGTCGTTGGATGTTTCACACTGGACGTTGCCAAAATTAACTGTTTTCGATCCTGACCTTCATTGTAGTTATACCAAAACGGTATCACCACAGAGAAGTGACATACAAAATCAACAAAAATTTTCGTAAGTGAGCCCTTGTTTCTTACAAAAATGATGAAGATTTTGTATATATTTATATTAAATTTATTATACTTAAACTATATAGATATATGGTTTTGAAGTCGAGAGTGCAACATCAAATTCATTTCAACCCAAAGCAAATTCGCTTTTCCTAGTTATAAATTTACAAAAATGTTTTGGTCATTTTTAAATAACTGAAGTAAAAAAAAAAAAAATTCAATATGAAACAATACAAGGACTAGATTAGAAACAGATATTAGATCTTACTTACTTACTCTATAATGAAATACATATAAATTTCACATTAATGATAAAATTTGAACAGAGCAACACTAAATATGATTATAGTTGTTTAAAGTGACATTACGTTTAATTTCCATTATATATTCCATAATTTGTTATAAAACATTCAATTTTTTAAAACAAACACACGCGTTCAAGTAACGCTACCCGTAACACATCAGATCTATAATACAATACAGAAAGAAATGCAACATTTGTACGAAATATTCATTTTAAATTCTAGTTAATATTGAAAAATAAATATATTATAATTATTATAAAACTATAACAATTTCAAGAACCTGTAATACTGACCATACTTATTATACAAAATAATTAGTTACATTCATGGGCGGCGGGTAGGTGCGAGGGGGTGCACTTGCCATGATGAAAAATAATATATAAAGTTAATATATATAATATATGTATATATATAATTTTTCTTATTAATAAAATCCCTAATGAATTTAGATATATGAGAAAAAAAATATTCTTCATATAAAAAAAATAATATAATAAAAGTGAAATAGTCATTTAAATATAATTTGCACCCCATGCAAAATAATTCTGCCGACACCCATGGACTTAAATTGAAGATATTAATTAGTAAAAAAGATTGTGCCATTTTCCAAAACACACAACAAATGAATCATCAATAACTATATCCAGATATGTAACTATATAACTCGTCTGAAAGAACGATGAATAGAATTTACGAAAATTCAACTTATTTCCATATATAGATATATAACAATTTAAAAAAGAAATTGGAAATCCCCCAATTTTAATGAATTTTGCCAAAAAAATTGAAAAATATTTTATAAAAATATGGCACCATACATACACAAATCATGGCGAATTGAAGTTTAAAACGGTTCTATATATTTAATACACAGAAACACTGATTAATCTATGGAATTTTATTAATATTTGTATAAAAAACGTGAATTATCACTAATTAAGATCCAAATGATAAAATATAATCTTTAAATCCCAGTGTTGCCATGATAAATAATAAATAATATGAATATTTATTATTTACAGATTGCAACACTACAATAATAAATATTCAAATGCATTTATCTCGTCAAATATCATACAATATGTAACATATTGTAAATTTGTACTTAAAAAGAAAAGGTTAGAAAAGAAAATATTTTCAAAGTAAAATCTTTTTAAGTTAAAAACTTTCAGATCAATTTTAATACTTTGTAAAAACCAAGTGCATACAAAATGCCTTGTCCATTCCAATATTATACCATAAAAAATATATAGGTACAATTAACATCGATCAATATATGAATTTGTAGGTAAATAGTCAATCCTGTTATTTTACATAACGTAAAATTACCAAAACCCTCTGCCAATATCCCGTTACCAGTTGGAAAACACTTCACTACAATCAAATCAGTTATGCAATTTGATAACCGTTGCACATTACACTGTCACTATTCACATATATTTATGCACATTTACACATATTTATGTCTGTTTACATATTTCACGTTTATTTATGCACGTTTACGTTTATTTATGAACGTATACGTTTATTTATGTATGGGTGAGTGTACACCACCAGCAATGTGAGCGGATCTGGCCACTCGATGTGCACACTTCAATGGGATGTAACACCACATACAAGGGACCAGGAAACTAAGTAGAGTGACGCCCAGCCATCTGAAAATGTAAATATTATTTATATTATTTAAAAATCATTTATTTGTTATACTAGCGACTTCCGTTGCTTCGCTCGGGTTCACCTCTGGGATAATAAAAACAAACCTATCCCACGGGAACCGTACATTTTTCCGGGATAACACTAGCAGAATCCGCGGCTCGCTTGCTTTAAAATTACGAAAAATCTTTAAAAAGGTAGTTTCATACAAACCTTCACCCCTATTTCACCCTCTTATAGGATGAATTTCGAAAAATGCTAAAACACGTATTTATTTAACTTTATTGAAGATATTTTATTATTGACCAAGTTTCAAGTAATTCTGATCATAAATATGTTTTTGGATTGTATTATAATATGTTTTCCCGTGGGAATTAGATGATCTCCCGCGGTAAAGAGTATCAACATCACACAAAAAATCACGCCAATCCGTCACTCCGTTTCAACGTGAAAGAAAGACAAACAAACACACTTTCCCATTTATAATATTAATATATAATATGGATATATTATAATATTCACCTTTTCGCACAATGCTCGTTGGGCGGTCCGCAGGTGCATGGATGCATTGCGAAATCTCCCTCCGAATCCGACATACAGTGGTATAGCATACACTGAAACAAATTAACTAAAATATAAGAATCTCCAAATGTTTGCCAACTCGCACTTGGCCAGCGTGGTGGGCTATGGCCTAATTCTTCTCATCAAAAGGGAGGCCCACATCCAGCAGTGGGATTTTAAAAAGGGCTGATTAATATCTCCAATATAGTTTTTATGAAAACTTTTGCACGCATAATAAAGAAGATCTACCTGGAAACGGGTTTTTTGTAGTTTTCGATAAATAAATACACAGACAAATAGATAAAAATTCTTTAAATTGTAAGGTTAGGTTGCGTAAATGTCCCCCCCAATGTGCGTTCACCTTGTCGTGGTGGGGGGGCTCAGTAGTAGTAGCGAAGCTAAGAAACGCACAGGGAGGTTGCCCACTTCGGTGGGCGGTGGGAGGTGGCCCTCTTCGGGGGGCGGTGTACCTTGCGGGTTGCTCCTGGTACTTCTCTGATAGCAGAGTGGACCTTGGAGCAACCCCATTGTTATGGTGGTCTGCTTCAGCAGACCTGCCGTCGGGGCGTCGTAGTTGAATGCGTAAGCGATCCTGCGACGCCCCATTATGACGGGGGAAGGTTTTGTTGGGTTTTAGTGGGTAGTACTGGCTGTATTAAGCCGGTGAGTCCCACACGTCGTGCGTAAATGCATTTCCCAACGTTAAAAAAAAAAAAAGGTTGCATAAATGTATGTCTTGTAAGGTTTTAGCAAATGTTTTGAAATTATTTTGATATACTCTCGATCTGTGAAAGCTATATTCACTAATATAATAAAGAGTAGTTTGAAAGTTTGGGCTTTTATAAAATTCTTTCACTAATATAAAGCAAGCTACATTAATGTTATATTCCGTTAAAAATAATTTACCAATAATTCATGAAAAAAAAAACAAAGAAACAATCATTTCAGCTTTATAACAATAAAAAAAAATCAAAAGTATTTTAATAAAAAAAAAAAAACAAAAACTAGCACATTCAAACAAACAATCATTTCAGCTTTACAATATCAATATAGATTAAGAATTTAAGATCAACGATTCTTAAAAAAAAACGGTTTTCATTAAAAGAAAAAAAAAGAACGGCCACATTAAGTTATCGTTTTTTTTTTAATTAAACTAGTTTTGAATATCTTTTTTTCAACATTACCTGTGCACATTTGATACAGCTGACACAATCTATGCAGGACTTGAAGCAGTCCGGCGCGTACTCGCACGCGCCCGCGCGGTTGGCGCTCTCTAAATACCACTCGTGACAATGTCTGGAATAGAATTATATATAAATATAAAGTTTATGAGTTTGTGACGTTGTAGGGGGTAATCTCTGGATCTACTGTACCAATTTAGATGAAATTTGGTAAGAAGATATAACATACATAGATAGGATAGGACACTTTTTATCCCGGAAATCATCTCCTTATTCCCGCTGTCTGTCTGTCCCTGTGTCTGCTTAGATTTTTAAAACTACGCAACGGATTTTGATACGGTTTTTTAATAGATAAGAGTGATTCAAAAGGAAGTTTCATATGTATAATACATACATACATGCATATTATAGTATGTACAGAAAAGCCGAAAAATTCAAAGATTTGTATTTCATACTAACAATTAAAATGTACCTAATAAAATTCTAAATGAGTCGAATCTGTACATGGAATATTTATTGGAAAAACTTATTGAAATAGTCATTATTATGGATACAGAGGCGGAATCTATAGTTTTAGAATTTCTGTCTGTCTGTCTGGGAATGCATCACGAAAAAATCAATCAAGGATTAACGACGAATTAAAACGTATGGGATTCGTTGAATCATGAGCCCAAATTCTCAAGGACTCAAGGAATCAATTTCGGGAAAAATCGAACCTATAATAAATATATGAAAAATAATTATATTATTAATCAGCATTCCAACTTATAAATTGTTAAAAATGTATATTTAACTCACAAATCGGAACCCATTTCTATTTTATTATTAATTTACGATTTTTTAGGACAGTAATTTAATACTTAAAGTAAAAAAATAATGTTTAACAATAAGTTGAAAACAAATATCACCTGCACTTTATCCTCGCTTGGAAAGCCTCAGCTGGTTTCTTGTCTGGAAGCGGCGGTGGTCCGCTGTATGTGCATTTTTTTAACGATCCTGAAATAGTTAATAATAAAATTACTATATACATAATATACACTAAAAGTTCTAAATATGTATTCGATAGAATAAAATAAAAATCAGTTTTCATACAAGTTCATATTTCTTTAGGAATGATTTGTTCAAAATTACATGACTCAAATTTTATTAATTTATTATATAAAAATAATTTACCCACGTTTACGATATAATAATGCTATATATTATATTTGAATACATACATACAAAATGGGTTCTTCCCTAGCTTGCTTCCCAACACACAACTTCATCCCCATTTTCACCCCCTTAAGGGGTGATTTCCTGTTTAAAAAGTATCCTATGTCCCAGTTCCCAGGGTCTCAAACTATTTTACCAAATTTCATCTAAATCGGTTTAGTAGATCCAGAGATTACCCCCTACAACGTCACAAACTTTATCTCTTTATAATATTAGTATAGATAAAGAATATATATTGCTAATGGAAATGGACACGCCTATTTAAATAAATAAAAAAAACTTAGAAAAATGTAACCATATATATATATATATATATATATATATATAAAATATATATATATATATATATATATATATATATATATATATATATATATATATGTGTGTGTGTATATATAAATTGAATAAATACCAGAGTCTCGTCTTTGTAACGGCGGCCTGGTGTTGGGCGAAGATCTTTCTGAGCTAATGGCGCCGGCCCCCACTTGGGGGTATGTGTATTCATGCACCTGTAACCATAAACTTTGAATTTAAATTTTATCTTTTATGTGTTTAGACAAACAATAAATTATAATTGATATTTAAAAAAAAAGTCATTTTTTTTGTCTATTATGTTTTTTACAGTCATTTAAGTGTAGTGTGTATGTGTGTGAGCCCGGTACCTATATATATATATATATATATATATATATATATATATATATATTGTACGACCTGTTATTATTAAAGAGTATTAGTTTGTTGTCTTATTTTGTTCCCACATTACAAAAGTTAAAGTGCCTGGGCGACCGAGCATCGCTCGGAGTTTTTGGCAAAAGATTTTTTTTTAAAAGAAAAACTTGGGTTCAAACCCTATCACCTATGATTGTCAATCTTGCGTCTTGGCCGCTTGACCACGATGTTTATGCCCTAGCGTGCGAAATTAGCGACCATATTTTGCGTGGAATAAGAAGAATAAAACCGCATGAAAACTCGAAAACACGCTTCTTCCCAGACGTAAGACTAATCTAGATCGATTTTTCACCCCCGAAAACACCCACATACCAAATTTCAGCGAAATCGTTAGAGTCGTTTCCAAGATTGAAGAATTGCTCGTTTAAAGGTATTAGATAGATATTTCAAGTCTTTGAAATATGATCAAGTTAAATAATATAAAAAATCTATGCATTTAATAATATATATTTCAACATCTATGTATTTTTTTATGAGCATCATCATTGATCAAAAAAGTACTAGACACACAATCACCGACAAAAAATGTCCTCATCGAATGAGCGCTCGTTTGAACATTTGAGCGCGGTTTGGTTTTTTTGTGAAACAACTTTAAGAATTGCATTTAAGGTTCAATTTACATTGTTGTATTTATTTCAACTAGAATAATTACCTAAACACAATTGGTAACAGTTTTAAGAGAACTTTTGCATGGGATTGTGAATCTAGTACTTTTTTGATCGATGGTGTACACCGATGGCGTTATTAAATATATAAATAAATAAACAAATATACTCACAGCAGACAGATGGACGTACGGACAACGTTCTTGCTCTGAATCCTCTGGCCTATCTTCGTATGGAATGTTCAGTGGTTCTGAAAGACATGGTTTTGTTAAGAATTTTGCAATAGTTAAATAAAAAAAGAATTAGGGTTCCGCTCAAAAAAATTTAAACGCATCTAGGGGTCACCCGAGCGAAGCGAAGGTGAGTCGCTACTAAAATGTTTTTTTTTTTTTTAGTAGGATTGTAGTTTTAGTAATAGTGTTTTTGTAGTAGTAGTAGTAAAATGTTTTTTTTTTCACAGCTTGGAGCTTGGAGGTAGAATTTGCGGTTTATAAAAAAAACAAAATTATTGAAATAAGAAAAAATACTCAACATTTTGAGTGGCCCATTGATTTTAAATTTTTTTTTTTTAAATTGCAATACAGCAATACATACATACATAATACAATGAAAGTTGGATAGAAAATGACTATATTCGTAAATTCTTGAATGTTCTCAAAGGTAATCAATCCGTCGAAAAAAAATTTAAAAATCAGTTGGTCATCTTAAAATACTACTAAATAATTTTTTTTATAAGCTACAAATTCTACCCCAAAGCTATGAAAAAAAAAGAAAAAAATTTTTTTTTACTCCACCCTAATACATATAATAATAATTACCAGTGAGAGGATGATGGTGAGGCAGTGTGATAGCGGAGAGTATGGGCGTCTGCACCAAGTCCTCTCGGCGGGCGCGGGATGCTGTGGACTTCTCCGAGCTGGACCTGGACTCTGACGGCAGGTTGAGGCACTATGGATAGATTCAATAAATAAATAAATATGTTGAGACATTAATACAGAGCACCATCTAGTTCCATGGTAAGCTACGAGGCTTGTGTTATGGATACCAGATAGTTGATACATTATACATATATAACTCAAATTCATGACTTGAGTACAAACATTCGTGCTCATCGCACAAATAAATGACCCCTGCGGGACTCAAACCCGCCTCCGCTGGTGCAGCGAGTAGGATCGATTGTCGTCGATTGAATGTGAGTTAAAAATAAGTTAAGGTTTATAAATACGAAAGTTTGGATGCATGTTTGTTACTCAATCACGCCAGAACGGCTGAACGGATCTAGATGAAATTTGGCACTGAGATAGATCATAGTCTGGATTAGTACATAGGCTACTTTTATTCCGGAAAAATGTACGGTTCCCGTGGGATAGATTTGTTTTGCACAATGGATAAACTGTTCTTGCTGTTAGGGATGTATAAGTCATACTTTTTATATTATTAGAGTCTTTTAGATACACGCATTATTTTACATTTTATGTAAGATTATTAATTATTATTTTCAGATTCTTGGAAGGATTTGTGGGGTTAGAAATGTCTAAAGCTTTACAGTAAAAAAAAAGGTTTAAGCGATTAAAAAAATATATACAAATCATTATATGATTTTTGTACATAATAAGAACAACTATAACTTTTGAGACACCAAAATCCCAGTCTTTCCCAAAACCCTCTCACATCAAGGGTAGGTCAGTGCCCAGCAACGAGACGTTAAAAAAGGACTGAATGACATTTATTTAACAAAATTTTAATAGTTATATAGTATAAGAATAGTTATTTTTTTATCTATACTAATATTACGAGGTAAAGTTTGTGAGTTTGTAATTGTAGGGGGTAATCTCTGGATCTACTGAACGGATTTAGATGAAATTTGGTAGGATAGTTTGAGACCCTGCGAAGGACATAGGATACTTTTTATACCGGAAATCATCTGTTAAGGGGGTGATAATGGGGATGAAAGTATTGGGAAGAAATATATAAGAATAGTTAATAGTAGATATAGTAGTAAATTTACTTCAAAAATATGGTTCTCTTCATCATCCTCGTTCGGCTTCATTGTGGTTTTCTTGCCTTTGTAGCCATACATTGAAGGCCAAGCACCACCCAGTCCTGAAATCAAGAAAACTATTATTTAAACATTCTAAAAAATATTAAAAATTATAACTACCAACTATCGACTCACCCTCGCTTCGCTCGGGTTCGTCCCTAGGTACGTTTTAAAGGTTAGTATGGAATCTATCTAAGATTATATTATATACATAGGTTTAGAAAAATAGCGTTAAAAAATGAAAAAATATATCCCTTAATTGAGAAATTTATATCTAACAACTGCATGTAACGATTATTATATAAGTCGAGTTAAAAAAAAAACGAACTTTACTCCAACATATTGTAATCTATAGTCAATTTAAGTGAATTAAAAGGCTTTTTAAATTTTTTTTTTAATTTTATTTTACTTCAGAAATGATTGATTCCCTATACAAATTGACCACCAGCCCCTCCCAGTGTCTCATACTATCTTAATACTAAATTTCATCTAAATCGGTTCAGCAAATTAAGCGTGAAAAGACAACAGACAGACGGAGCTACTTTCGCATTTATAATATTAGTAAGTATGGATATATGTATACAGACAAATAAAATTGAAGTGTCTGTTTGTAATGTCAAAATAAGAGCTTTTTACTAAATTCATATTATGAATATACGGTACTTATAAGAAAAAAATATTTTTTAAATGTTTGACTGTCTGTCTGTGTGTTCTCCCTAATATCCGCAGCGGCTGAACCGAATTTGACGATGATTTATTTCAGAATAAAAATTAAAGATCCGCGCAAAAAATTAGAATCCATGAAATTGTGAACAAAATTCTCGTACTCAGGGAGTGAGACGCTTCGAGTGAAGCGAGGTTAAGTCACTAGTATTAATATAAAATTTTATATTTATATTAATATAAAATTAAATTGTCGGTCTGTCATTCCTGATCAAGGTCTGATCTGGTCAATATTTGAGCTAAACTAACTTATACGTTGGGGGTTCTAGTCCCGGGTCGGCTTGAAGATTAACAGATTCACTCAGCTTTTCTCTCAAGACATCAGTAAAAACTTCTTTTTGTTTTCAGAAATATTCATGTTTTGCTATCCGTGCATCGATCAAAAAAGTACTCGACACACAATCCCATTCAAAAGTTCTTTTAAAACTGTCACCAATTGTGTTTAGGTAATTATTCCAATTGAAATAAATATACAACAATGTAAACTGAACCTTAAATGCAAATACTTAAAGTTGTTTTCACAAAAAAAAATTAACAAATTAAAAACACGCTCAAATGTTCAAATGAGCGCTCATTCAGTGAGGACATTTTTTGTCGCTGATTGTATATGTAGTAATTTTTTAACCGACGTGTTCGTGACAGTAAATGTAATGACAGCTTTTTGATACTAGAAAAAAAACATATCTGGCAACACTATGGTGTGTATGTGTATGTACAAATTTACTTATATATACTCACCACATAAGAAAGCAGTAGCGGGAAAGCAAAAACACACATTAGATAAGTGCGTTCATATCATTAATACTACAAATATATACATATAATACAAAAAATATATATAATAAAAGAAATTAATTAAATATAATAAATTAATACTTGCAATGAAAACTTATACTGGGATGAACTTTTCAAGTTGGAGCAGATATTTTGTTATTATCCGAGTTTATTTTCTTTATTTCATACTTTAAAAAATCATCCTATATATTGTATACAGAAGGTAGCACAATCTTTCGACATATTTTTAAGACACACACACACAGACAGTAAATATAAATATGTTGGGACATTAACACACACCATCTAGTGACTTGTGTTATGGATACCAGATAGTTACTTTACATTACGTTACTACTCATTATATATAACTTTAAATACATACATCTATACATATAACAAAATTCTAACCGAGTCAAATCTGTACATTTAATATTTTTTGGAAAATTTTATTGAAACAAACATTATTACTGATACTGTTTTTGAATTTTTGTCTGTCTGTTACCGCATCACAGAAAAACCATTGGAGGGATTTTTATGAAATTTGGTATGGTGATAGCTGGTTATCCGGGTCAACATATAGGATACTTTTTACCGCGGGAAAATGTCGCATTTCTGAGAAAAAATACAAAAACTGCAATGTAAGTGTATACTAATATGTAAAACCTAAGAATTTGGTTTTTGGTCATCTGAACGTGGGCGGAGCGGCGGGCAATGCTAGTATTATTATAAATATAAACACCCATGACTGGGGTACAATCATTAGTGCTCATCACACAAATGTTGGACCCAGCGGGACTAGAACCCACGTACTCTGGCACAACAAGTAAGGTCACTAAAAACTGAGCCAAACAGTCTATCAGTGTACCAAATATCTACCGAAACCGTTTCAGCTGTAACACACACACAAACACAAACAAACTCACAGGAACATACACAAACAAACAAAACACAAAGCAACTCACGGTACAGCTCGCTGACGGCCTTCCGCACTCCCTTATCGAACGCCCTCGCGTCGGCAGCAGTTTGAAACGTTAGACCGAAACGTTTCTCATCAGACACCCAGTGATGGAATGTGGGCATCACTTTGTGATATTCGAAATCATCTTTGAGTGTGCAGTCTAGAACGAGCTGAAATAGATTATATAATGTAAATAAATAAATATGTTGGGACATTAACACACAGCACCATCTAGTTCCAGTATCCATGGTAAGCTACGAGGCTTGTGTTATGGATACCAGATAGTTGACACACTATACATATATAAGTTTAAATATATACATGTTATAAATATACCTAAACACCAACGACTGGAGTACTAATATTGCACACAAATGGATGCCCCCAGCGGGACTCGAACCCGCGACCGCTGGTACAGCGAGTACTACTAGTAGGGTCACTACAAACTGAACCAAACGTGTCGTCAATAATAGATTATCGGTCGCTGAACTACTATTTTTTATTGAAGTAAAATGTTCTTTAGCTGCGTTTAGCGACTTTTGGTAGGGGCAAAAGTTATAAGTTCGCGTCACCGATACACTCGTAGCATGAGTGACATGTGATGTGTCGACGTAGTCTGGCAATTACTCTCTTTAGAAACCAGGGCTCGGAAAACCGTTCAATTCTTAAACCGGTTCTCGTCATTTGCCCCAAACCGAAAGGCTTTTTGGTTTAAGGTTCGCTTAATTTCTTTAACCGGTTAAAACGGTTTTTGACGTTGTTAAAATGGTATTTTGTGCGTGCGTGCTTGGTAGAAATATACATATGCATTTCTTACTTATGAATGAAAAACCGGTTTATTTCGGTATCAAAGCTCTTATTTTAATAATAACTGTAAACAATTTTTATTTCGGTTTCCAAAAAAAACGTTCTTTTTTATTAATCGGTTAATGAACAAGCGATGAATTAACCATTACATTACCGAAAATAACCGTTCTATTTTAAACATGTTCCGAGCCCTATTAGAAACAATGCAGCTACATACATACACATATAACTACGCGAGTAGAGTCACGGGTAAAACCTAGCTGATATACATACCACGTTGTCGCTGATACGCCTGCCGTGTATGTAATACTCTGGTTTAGGTGCATTCGGTACGCACGCAGATGCTATGTCGGTACTTTTCTCCCCACCTAATGCAATTTTTTATTTAGTTATCAAACAGCTTTACAGAAAAAAATAGGTATACACATTGTAAATAAGGCAGAGTTATAATAACTATATACAAAACATATATAATCTGTATGTATGTACGTTTTAAATAAAACTATTTTTCTGATTTAATTACTGGTTTTTTTCTGAAGTTTCGAATGCTTTCAATTCGATTCTTTTATTTCATGGCTTCTAGTAATGCAATTTGGGCTTCGAATGCTTAAAAGCAAACTAAAACTTAGTTTGACGTTTGGTTGATGTTTACCCGTCAAAGGATGTAGGATGTTATCCTTCTCATAGGATGGATACTAATCAAATAATCCATTGCCGTTATATAATTAAAGCACAGTATAAAAACATCTAACGAATCGAAATGGTGTCAAATACAAAGGTTGTCAATTTTTTATTAATTTTAAAATCTATAATTTTATTTTAATGCCAAACAATTTCAAAATTAATACGATATAGTGCGAACATTTAGCAATTTAGTTTTAATCGTCAACCATAACTTCCTTTCCCGACTGCCATATAAAAGAACATACGACCCTATCCCTCACCCTCTTTTCCTCTCGAAGCATTCTTCGCCGAAATTATCATGTATTCTAAATTAACATATAATTTTGTGAGAAGATGCCATGTGTCTCTCCCGTGAAACGTGCTGTAAAACATGCGATACGTCGGTAACCAAACACCAGAATAATTCCGCGAAAAAATGGTTTTATTTAAAATTTCAACATCCTCCATCCTCCAAAACCTTAAATTTATGTATTGTACACACTAACTAAAAACTGAACTAACTCACCTCCACGACGACTGACCATGACCTCGGCAAGTCCACCACCGCCCAACGCCACCCAGCCGCCAGTGCCCTCGTCCCGACACATCACCTGCGCTCGTACGCGCACCAGGTGGGGACTACTATAACAATTTTTGGTTCATTTTAATTTGTAAATAAATAAAACTTAAGTATTTTTTGGAAAATCTTATTGAAATAATCATTATTATCGATACAGAGGCCGAATCTATAGTTTTTAGATTTTTGTCTGTCTGTCTGTTTGTTACCGCATCACGGAAAAACCACTGAAGGGATTTTGATGAAATTTGGTATGATGGTAGCTGGTTATCCGGGTCAACATATAGGATACTTTTTACCGCGGGAAATTATCTCAATTAAGAGAAAAAATACAAAACCTGCAATGTATACTAATATGTTAAACCTAAGAATTTGGTTTTTGGTTATCTGAACGCGGACGGAGCCGCGGGCAATGCTAGTAGTACATAAAGCTCATAACTCTTCAAATAAAACAATTCAGTAATTTAGACTTAGTTTGAAATAACTAGCAATTCCCGCACTTAGTTTGGAATTCAATGGCATTTGACAGATTCTGGAAATGCCCATACAAATTATTTTAACTTTGAAGATTACATTCCCTTAGTTTCATGAAAATCAAAACATTTTTCTAGAAATTAAAAATAAAAAACCAAGAAAAAGTTAAAAACCGAGTTTTTTGCAAATATCTCGAAAACTTCCAGGTTATTGTGAAAAGTATTATTTATAAAAGTTCTCGATTTTTACTAGACCTACAACGTTTGTAGAAAACATATTTCGATAGAACGTCACAGTAAGCCAGAAATTGACCCCATCTCTCAGGGGTAGCTGGGCATGTGGGGCATTTTACGAATTTCTATTCCTTATATACCTGCTAACATTTTAAAATCATAAAACTTCAGGTTTTCAATATTTTGTTCCCAAACCGGGTTACGATTGGACTAAGTGTCATATTGTCATTTCCATAAAAGTATTATAACTTTCTTAGATTTACGCGAATGTTTGACATTTTTAAATAAAACAATCTTTTCGGATTATTTCGCGGATTTATTTTGATTTTTGGTTCCCGACGTTTCGAATGCTTTACAGCATCCATGGTCACGGGATGGATTATATATATATTACCGTTTAGGATTTCGTATACATTTAGTAAAAAGCTGTTATTTTGACATTACAAGCAGACACTTCAGTTTTATTTATCTGTATAGATAACAATGAATATCTTTTTCATAAAAACTTTCTAGTTAAGCTTGATTGTGCACTTGCACTTAGCATTTGTCATATCCTGTCTACATTCGTTGATTAGTTAATTAGATAAGTGACTGGAATATTAAGCTCATCTACATATACGTCAGCCATGATAGCTTGTACATATTATGTACATATATTTTAAAATCGAAGATTTACTTCATACTTGACACATTCTAATTTTAAGGCCAAAAATCGCAAAGCTAATACCAACATACGAGTATTTTTAAGAGACACGCGAATATTTGATTTAGCAAAATTCTAGATTTACTTAGTACGTTTTACGGGTAGTATAGATTTCTCAGATATGAGATGTTTTCCCGCGGTAAAAAGTATCCTATATGTTGACCCGGATAACCAGCTATCCATACCAAATTTCATCAAAATCTGTCCAGTGATTTTCTCGTTATACGTTCCCAGACACAGACTGACAGGCAGACAAAATTCCAAAAACTATAGATTTGGACTCTGTATCGATAATAAAGACTATTTCAATAAGATATTCCAAAAATATTTAATGTACAGATTAGACTCAGTTTAAATTTCATTATATGTAGGTTATATAGGTATAGATTAAAAAAAAACTTTCGGATTTATCGTTTCTCGGATTTTATATTGAGATGTTTTGGTTTCCTATTTTGTATGGAACAAAAAACTGCCATGAAATAAAAACAGGTTTTACTAAAATGCATTACAATCACCTAAGAACGGTTGGTAAGACTTCAATAGGACTCTTATGTACAAGATATAGTCTAAAATAATTGGACTCTATGGGACTTCGGACCACCGTTATAAATTCTAAAGTTTGTATGAATGTGTATTTGTCCCCCTTTCACGTCAAAACGGCTGGACGGATTTTGATGAAGTTTGTACACATGTAGACTACGACTGTGTTAGAATTAAGAAAGTATTAAAGTATTAAGTATTATGAATTAATTAATTATTACAGTTAAGGACGCATCCAACCGAAGTCAGGGTAAGTTGCTAGCTAATACTTAAAAAATGTGATCGATATACTTTAATAGGTAGCCAGAGCAATCCAGTCCGTTATTGATAGTGTCACCCCCATAGGATGAGAAGGATAGGAAGATTTCCGCTGCACTAATACCAATGAGCTCGGGAGAGTAAAGCAATATTTGTAAATATTGGTTTTTGTTGCTTGTTTATACAACAGCACTATATGTGTGTATAATTTAGTGATGAAACGGATAGTTGTTTGGTCGGATACCGGATATCCGGCAAGCTGTAATACCGGATGGGCGGATATCCGGCGGCCGGATAATAAACCGATTGTGACGTTGTATGTTGCGACAAATACATATTTTTACTTATTTTACTTTATTACTGTAAGAATTTAAGCTTATTCGAGTGTCATCAAGCTAAGTCAGCTTGTGTAATTGTTTACATACTAAATCATTTTACACCCCTTATAGTTGGTGGACAGCTGTTAGCACGAAGCACACATACGATACTTTGATAAGTAGGGCGGGTACTTACATTTGTCAAAGTATGTCAGAGTGTACCTTTTAGCACCTTGCTGCCTTTACAACATAATATTGTATTATTAACCTCACGGGTTTTTTTTTTCTTAGTGTTTATTATAGAAAAAAGTCAAAGTTTCTAAATATCCGGTATCCGGCCGGATATAGCGTTACTATCCGGTATCCGATCGAATAGTAAAATAAGGCCAGATACCGAATATCCGTTATCCGTCCGTATTTATAGTATAAAGAGGAAGAGAGAAGAGGATACCTATTATAAAAATAAGTTTTATCCCGGAAATCATATCTTAAAGGGGTGAACATGGGGATCAAAGTTTGTTTGGAGAAGCAACCTAGAGACGAACCCGTGAGTGAGGATGAGTCGCTAGTATGTGTATATAATTATATATAATAGAAAATATTCTCACGAAAATTTAAATTGTGTAATTGATCTATTAAGTAGCTTACATCTGCCTCTGTGTTAAACTATTTGGGTGTCAAAGTTCATAATGAGACAGACGGATGTATGAATATCTACATTTACATAGTTAATTAATATGGGAATAAGTACTTATAGTTAAAATTGGAAGATACTTATTTTAAATATTTTTTATTAAGCTTCAAATAAGTTATACAAAAATCAATAGTATATTCTATGATATCCATAAATATGTACTAATATAAATATAATAATATAAATAGATAACTTTATAAAAGCCATGACAAAAATTATCTCAAATTAATTTGTAAGTTAACAGAGTATGCTATAAGGAACAATAAACAAAAAAAATTTATAAAGGCACAAATGCACAGAACTATGTGTACTCGTGTAAGTATGTATGTAGCCTATAAATGTAGCTATTGAATGTTAGAATTTTGTGTATAAAGCAAGATAGACAGACAAAATTTTGAATGAACATCAGAAAAGATTTGAAAAATAAGCCAACATCTGTTAGTAATAATAATAATTGACAAAGTATATATAAAAACAACAAAACAATTCGCAACAGACTATAAAAGAAACAGAATTGTTTCGTTCAACATAAGTAGAAAAACAAAAAAAACTACTTTTTCTAGTAAGGATATAAATAATCTATGTTAATTTAGCCAAATATATTGCAGCTTAATGTATTGTCTACATATTGAAAATTATTCACATACTAGTGACATACCCTCGCTTCGCCCGGGTGCGTCCCTAGGTACGTGCACATAGCATTGCTACATTTTAATAGGAAGATCTTTTAAGGAATAATTCTGTAATACATTGTTTTCATATAACTTTATTAGATTACGCGGCGCACGCCAATAAGCATGATTTTTCAACAATCATAGTCATATTTCAACCAATTTAGACAAAAACATAATTAATTATACACCTAAACCTTCCTTATATTGGTCCATTCCATGTATTGGTGAAAACCGTATGAAAATCAGTTCGGTAGTTTTTGAGTTTATCGCGTTCAGACAGACAGACGCGGCGGGGAACTTTATTTTATAGTATGTAGTGAGTGATTTTTATGGTTGATATTGAAATGTCATACTTTGAGCTAGTTGTTTTCAATGTAATCAGATCCTTATAATATTAATTGTATAAAATTATCATTGTCAGTAGGTAGTATAATTACAACTGGTTATTTAATATTCATACTAGAAACCAGTATAGCAGCTACAAGCTTATATATTTACAGATCATTCATTATATATATAAAACAATGGATCAGATAATAATCTAAAATGTCAAAATAATATGTACAGTAATAAACAATACATTGGCAAGACTTTTAATTCACAAATATTACAAAGCTTGAGCTTCAACCATTTGCATTGCATATACTTTAATAAAAGTAAGCTATAATATTTATTATTTATTTAAATAAATAAATAAATTTATTATTTATTTAAAAAAATAAATTAATTATCTAGATTATCAAAGATTAGCAAAGGAACAACCTCTACTTATATTATAAACTCTTTTTGCTTTGCCATGTGTAAAAAATAAATATGATATGTACCTATATAAATAAAAAATGTAATAATTCTCAAATATAGTAATATCTTTCTATCAAGTGTAAGAAATAAAATTGTCTTTTACTAATTTTTAAAGTATTTGCAATTACAATGTCATTCATTTAAAAATTAATAAAATTATGATGATAATTTTTAATAATTAATGTAAAATCCTTGATGTATTAAATTATAATTAATATATTATAATAGTTTCTTTATTCTAAAAATTAATACAACAGAAAAATCATTAAAAATGTTTTTTTTTTCAAATTAAATAATTGATTTCCTCAATATTATACTTTAATATTTTTTTGCTGTTATATGTTTCCATAAGTGTGATTTTTAATTCATTATCTTCATTAATTTTAGAATTTAAAAAAAAAAAGATTGTAGTTCCCAGTTATTTACTTTTATAGTCATCAATGTAATACAAAGAGTATTATTGAGTTAGCTTAATTAATTTCTCTCATAGCAAGTCTCATATACGTTGTAAAGTAACTATATACGTAATTCATTGAGAGAAACAGCTTCGTTCGAGCTAGCTTCAGATGACCCCGAAAGGAGTTATGTACTTTATTGTGAATGAACGTCGACTCATTGATTATAGCTATACACCACAGGGTGACCTAAGGGCGGCGGTCGTACATCAAGGTTTTACATGTATTTGCACTTAGATACCTCATTTAGGCCTCACCTTAGCTCAAACATCGTAAACTAAGCTTCAGAGCCCTTATTAAACCCTACAACACATATATTGAGCTCAAAAAATGGCCGGGGTAAGGCCCTACCTACCCAGTGCAGGGCGAAACACGTATTTCAAAAACTGTGTTACAAAGACCTTACTTACTTTTCAGATGCCTCGGTCATGATTCGACACGTCGAATATCCTAATTTCTACTCGCCACTTCACAGATTTCACCATTTTTATAACATAAATACATCAGATTCACTTGCAAATCCTAATTCGGCCCTTTGTTGGGCCTCAGTGCGCTTGCGTCAAACAGTCCGGGCGGTATTCAATGAACGCAGCGTGAAGCGACAGGTGGCGTGGTGGTCGTGTGGTATATACGAAACTCGGCACGCTATTGGTTGATTCTATCACTATCCAAGTTTCGACCAATCACAGAGCTCTATTCTAAAAATAGCCAATCGAATCGATTGATTTTGATGTCGCACCTACTTTGATTTTCGCGGTTCTTTTTAAATAATTTGACGTTTTTCACTAATATTACACATAGCAGCTTATTATTTAAAATTCAACGCGAAACTTCAAATTTTGCCCGATTTTTCAGTAATAATCAACAGAATTACTACGATAGATTGTAAGAACAAAGATATATCGCCGGTCTGTGAGCGTATAACTAGGTCAGCCCGGCCTCGAGTTCGGTTACTGAATGAAGTCGCGAAGCACCCTGTTTCCCCGTTCATGCCGACCATTGAAAAACAAATAGGTCAAATCATTGCAGTGGCCTACTTGCGATATGCAGTCACGGGCTTGGACCTCCAATTCTATTTATAGCAGCAGATCTATATTGGGACAGGTAATGCCTCCATAAAGTAGGTTACCCCAGTTTTGTATTACGTGCGATGACGTCACATCTATGACGTCGGTTAAAACTTAGCCATTTTGTAATTCAATTACATTATTTGAATCTGTTGCGATTGAAATTTTCCTTTGTCATTTACTCTGAATATAACTGTTTTTGAATTCATATTGGAATTATAATAAAAGAAAGTAGATTAGTTTTAAAAATACATATATATTAAAAGTATTTCGAAATACAATTTATTTAAAACATGATTTTCTCTTTAAAAATTTGATAAATTTACTCTCTCTCTTAGATATATATTATTACTAAATAGCTTCATTAAAGTTTTAATTTATATTTTTAAAATAATGCATCCATGATCCAATATTCAATAAAAAAAAATCCACATGAATGAAATAATTTAGACCTTAACAATTTGCGTCATGTTAAAAAAAAATTGGTGGACGATGAGGACATTTTGTCTATAATATTAATGATTAAATCATGGATGACAAAAATCACATTCTTAGTATATTGAATATAATTTCAGCTAAAATCTATAAGGGATTATAAAATAGAAGTTTTATTAAAAACACCCAGAGCCAATCGATATTAATAAAACCCTCACCATTGTAATGTAAAAGAAAACAAAACATAAAAGATTGAATTACAATAAAAAAACTTACTATTGACAATTTTTTTTATTAAACACTTTTAATTCACGATTTTTGGTTATCAATGAAATACAAATACATATTACTAATTATCTCATTTCTTATAAAAAATTGTTATTTCTTACAATTATAAAATGTTTACAAAATAATGTTTCAGATTATTTATAAATCATCAAATTCTGTTTGTGTCTTTGTTGCTTGGGCCATGGCTGCTTTTCTTAAATCCTCGCTTTGTAGCATCAGTTGGTTGATGAGTTTCTGGAATTAAAAAGAAAAGTGTAATATATATTATTGCTAGTGACTCACCCTCGCTTTGCTCGGGTTTGTCCCTAGTGAAAAAAAAAACCTACAGTTCATCGGGATAAAAGTAGCCTATTCCATTGCATATGCTATTCCAAACTATAATCTATCTCCGTGCCACATTTCATCCAGATATGTTCTGGTGTGATTGAGTAACAAACATCCATCCATCCAAATTTTCGCATTTACTTAATTTTAATGGGATGGGATAATAAAAATTTACCACAACAATATCGAACTTCTATTATATTTGTGAAATTATGTGTGAGTATGTTTGTTACTTTTTACATAGAAACAGCTGGATGGATTTGTATGAAATTTACTACACAAACAGATTATGACCTGGAGTAACACCTATGTCTTACTAATGCTTATGCTACTGTTAGTAACATTTTAATACTATCTAATAATTTATACTGATTTACATAATTTTAAATAAAGCAATTTTTTTTGCAGGTTTATAATAAATACTTTCGTGAAAAAATCCAGATAAAATTTCAGTGAATGAAATTATTCCAAATAATGTTGTGATTATGTGAGTAGCTACCGCTTGTAACAACTATATAATAACTTTTGAGACATCTAAAACCTAAAGTTTTCTTTCCCTCTCGTTCTCTCCCATAACCATTCGAAGTGTCAGAAACCAAAAATCAAAATAAATCTGCGAAAAGATAGATTTTATATAAAATGTTCTATTTGTGAGGGAGAGTGCAAGAGTGCACAAGAAATCTCTTTTTAAAAATTATTTTTTACTTTTTAGTTCAGGTCATAATTGAAGCGTGTTTTTTAAGCTTTTTAAACTATAATTTATTTTCTGTTTTTAGTTTGATTTGCTTGCTATAAAAACGTGTTTTTTTTAGTTTATTTAATAATATATTTTTTTAAATTATTGTCATGTCACCGGTGTTTGTTAAATGTGCAAAGTGTCAGTTCCATCTGATGTTTTGAAGTGGGTGAAAATCGCGTTCAAAGATTTCGTTACAAACATATATTATGTGGAACTAATAAAAGCGTTTTAAAAATATCCAAAAAACAAAATAAAAAAAATCTTTCTTTCTTAAATTTATGGGAATATTTGATATTTTATATAAAACTATCTTTTCGGATTATTTCCTAGATTGATTTAGATTTTTTTGTTCCCGACTTTTCGAATGCTTTACAACAATCATGGTTACGGGAAAGACTAAGATTATAGACGACTCATAGTCATTATACATTTGTTACAGACAAAAGTATTTACTTACAATATGTTCCAGTCCATCTTTGTTCGGTCTACTTTGAGAATAAACTAGAGATTTCTTTGTCATCTGTACGGCGACGGGACTTTTAGATGCAATCGTTTGAGCTATTTCTAGTACTTCCTTCACCGCACTGAAATACAAATTTTGTGTTGCTGTAATTTTTTTTGATAAAAGAATAAGATTTTCAGGATATATAAAAGTTAATACAAAAAAAAGAACTATTGTAATGAAAATGATATTATATATAAAAAAAAATTAGGCCAAAAAAACAAACATCTCACCTTTCTCTATCTTTAAACACTTTGCTAACTAATCCAAGCTCTAAAGCTTCTTGCGCTTCCATCTTCCTTGCGGTGAAACATAATTCTCTAACTATGGACGTGTTACCTATTACCTGGAAAAAAATATATGTTAAAACGAGATAAATATGACAATATATAATTACAGTGATATCTTTAATTCAGAGGTTTTTAGCATTTGTTCAAGGATAGCAATGGTATGATCTTTAAAGTTATACTTCTTTAGGCATGTTTGGAAAAAAACAAAAACAAAAAATTTTTACGATGCACGCGCATACCGACAGCCAAAAACCGACATGATGAAGTTAGCTGCATTCATTTTACAAACAGAGAGTTGTGACATACAGGATGAAATCTTTAACCACTTTTGTTCTGTTATGCCAAAGAAGTATAACTTCTTACGTGCGTACATAAGTATAAAGAGACGTTTTTCTTTCTATTTATTTGTCTAACTTGGATCATAGAAGGCAAATGAGTCATAAAAATAAAGAAACATACACTTGATATGAAAGCCTTTGAAAGTCTGATTTGTTTGTGCTGTTTTTTTATGTTATTTAAAAAAAAAGATACATAAAGACGAACATAGATCCTCCTTCATTTTGGAAGTCGATTAAAAATATTATTTGATGTACATTCTAGGGCGGAACGTAAAACAATTTTTTCAACATTTTGAGGTGGCCCACTAATTTTTAAATAAATATTTAATTTAATTTTTTTTTATTTAAAAATTCTTGAATTTTTTTTAGAAACTGTAGAGTGTCTTCTATAAAGTCAATTAAAAGGTATGAACTAAAAAAGAAAATCTGACCATTATTGCAATTAAAAAAATTACATGTTACTTTATTTGTATTGCAGTTAAAGTTGAGAAGAAAATGACTATATTCGTCAATTCCTGAATGTTTTTAAAGATGATCGATCACTCGAAAAAAAAATCATTCAAACCAAAAATTTAAATTAATTACGTATATATTTATTTAAAAATCAGCGGCAGTGGGCCACCCCAAAATATTGAATGGTTTTTTTTTCATAATTTTTTTTATAAGCTACACATTCTACCACCAAGTTAAGATTTTTTTTATTATATTCTTTTTTATTATTAATATTTGCTTAAATCTAAGAAACTATTATATAGAAATAACCTTGGGTAGTCTCTGTAGAGTGCCCACGTCAGCTGCCAGACCTAAATCTACTTCTTTCACTTGGAACCATGCTTCTTGTGTGCAATATCTGAAATTAATTTAAAATATTTTATTACAATAAATACAAAGATAATGTAACTAACAAGTGACCCTCGTTTCACTCGGGTTTGTCCCTAGGTACGTTTTAATGGTTAGCCTAGTCATGTAACATGAAAAAAAGACTTTTTTTTCACTATGTTGAAAAAAAACATGAAAAAAAAACCTTTGTTTTTTTCTAATTATAGTTTTTTTTTCAGAAAAAAATCTATAGGAAATTAAATGTTTTATCGAAGTATGTTTTCTAATTCCTTACATTTTACTAAAATTACAAATCGAATAAAGTATAATGAATCAATTAAATAAAAATGTATTCTTCCTCTGTGTCAATGTCAGTACCACTTTCAGTATCAGTGCCACCTACATTTATCTTGTTCTCGTCACTATTCAACCAAAAAAAGAATGGTAGGTTTAAAAATAAACAGAGAAGACTAATATGAACTCTTAAGAAATAACCTTTTACAGACACTAATTGTTTTTGAAATCTATACTATCGAAAAAAAAACGCGTATTTTTCATGTTTTGTTTTTTTGTCACATTAGAAAAAAAAACTATATTTTTACAACATTAGGTTAGTATAGAATAGATAGATTAAATATTTTATATATATAGGTATTAGCTATGATGATTTATATATCCCTTACTTGAGTAATGATTGATTCCACATACAAACTTCCACTCCATTAAGGGATGATTTCCGGGATAAAAAGTATCCTTTGTTCTTCCCAGAGCCTAAACTATCTCCCTATCAAATTCCATCTAAATCGGTTCTGCGGATTATGCGTGAAAAGGTAACAGACAGACAGACAGAGTTACTTTCGCATTTATAATATTAGTATGCTAAAGCGATATTTTTTATTTTAGAATATTTAATAAATTACTATAATACTAACCTCATATCAGCTGCTGTGATAAGATCAACACCTGCTCCTATACATGCATTGTGAACTACTGCCAATATGGGCTTTAAGCAATCTTCTAAAGCAGTTATTCCATCCTGGAAAAATATACAAATAATTATTTTTAAATAAAAAAATTACATTAAGACAAGATGCACATAAAATAAACAATGAAATATAGCCAAATCATAACATTCTTTTAGGATATCGTTTGGCAATCTTTACATATAATAAAATTCTGAGCCGAATCTGTTCATTATATATTTTTTGGAGTATCTTATTGAAGTAGTTTTTAGAATTTTTGTCTGTCTGTCTCGGAACGCTTCACGAGAATATCTCTAGACTGATTTTGATGAAATTTGGTATGATGATAGCTGGTTGTCTGGGTCAACATATAGGATACTTTTTATTTAGGGAAAATATCTCATCTCTGAGAAATCTTTACCAAACATTAAAACATATTAAAACAGAAATAATATTTTAATATGTATATTATCATATTGTCATTATCTGTTCTATTAGGAAGAAAGAAAAAATTAGTTGAAACTTGATCAAATGCATCTACCCTTCTCATATATTAATTTATTTTCATTTGCTATTGCAAATGAATGGTTCTCAACTTCAAGTAAAAAAAAATATGTTTTATTACTGTGAAACAAAAAATAGTTTAAGCTTATCAAAAGATGGCGCTGAATCTGTTTAATCTATATATATAAAAGACAAAAGTAATTGACTGGACTGATTAATCAATGCACAGGCCAAACCCTTAAAGCTAGAAAATTGAAATTTCACACATGTATTCCTCATATGACAAGGCATCCACTAAGGAAGGATTTTTGAAAATTCAACCCCCAAGGGGTTGAAATAGGTGATAAATGTGTATGAAACTATATTCCTTGGACATATTTGCATTAAATATCGTATGAATTGAGTACGGCAAAAATAATGAGTTACGTATTTCAGCGTTTTCTCAAATTCAACCCCTAAGAGGGTAAAATAAGGGATGAAAGTTTTTATGAAACCCACTTTTTAGAGTTTTTTAGTAGTTGTAGCACGAGTGAATTCTGCTAGTTTAAAAGAAACAAAGTATTTAATGCTACAGCTGGAAGTAACACATTATGTACTTACTTGACAATGACTGATTAAGTTTTGTAAAACACGCGCTTTTCTTGCCACATCATCATATTCTTCAGCTTTTTGTCCTTCTTCTAGAAGACTGTTGAAATCAATACCTTAAATGAGTTAAAATATAGTAGAAAAACATTTGTAAAATGAGGTTTTACATATTTTGTAACAGGGTCAAATCAATAATTTTTTATAACCATAAGTACTATTTTCTTAAATTTGTAATAAAACATTTAATGTATGTAAATATAAAAAAAAATCAGATTGGAAAACAACATTTTTACAATTGTTAAAAAAAATTGTATAATCGTGTGTAATAAAAATTAGATAAAATTCAATTTTTTTAATGGCTTCAAAATTGCTTGCCATTTGAGCACATATTACTAGATAAAATTTATTCCAACCCCAAATTTTTTTTACAATTACCATTTACATTTGTTACAATGCAATTTAAAATTTTCTTTTACAAACTCATTGATAATGTTGCCCAAAAAGTGACTTGTTACTAGAGAAAAAGGCTCAAGAGTCTAATGCTAACTAATTTTATTATAAAGGCATTGTTTTTAAAACTTTAAATTATACATGTATGTGTACCGATACTCATCAAAACTCATAATATTTTGCATTAATTTAGAAACCTGTAGAATCACATTGTGAATAAATAGTTGTTGAAATCAGATTTAGGCACTTATATCTGAATGCAGTAATTACATGTTGTATTAAAAATCTACCACCCTCGAAGAATAACTTATAAGTTTGCACACAGAGGTACACTGAGATATGTTTATATTAATATTTATAGATAACATTTGTAAGGGTTCCATATTCTTTTGTATCTAAAAGTATTATAATATTAGCATATAATTAAAAATTACCTGCAGTAAAATGTTTTCCACTTCCAGTTAATACAATAACTCTACATTCTGAGTTATTGTTCAAAGATGCAAAACAGTCATTTAATTCTCTGAAAAGTAAAGTTTACATATAATTTAAAATTCAATGCAATTATTATTGTTCAAGTCACCTTGAAAAGTTTCTTGGGTTCATTGGCTACTGCATGTAAATTAATTTATTCACTATCTATAATATATTTTAAAAACAAACTTAGCTTTTATGCAATATTATACATTTTTCACATAACTAGATATTAATATTGTAACACCATCTTTGAGTCTTTTAATATTAATGTACTAAAACTAGATATAATAATAAATTAACAGCTAATTTTAGATTGTAATGAAAACTTAAAATTTTACTCACTTCCACATAATTTTATTAAAGGTATTTAATTGTTTAGGACGGTTCAATTCCACATGAAAAACATTCTTCTTAGGCACAGATATAGCTAATGTTTCAAACTGTGGTATAGCAACATTTGAAGAATTTAACTTAGAACATACAACTGAAATCAAATGGTTTTTGTTTTAATTATTTATTTACAATTCCAAATATAAGTAGATATAACTTTTGTAGATATAACTTTTGTATACAAAATTTAGAGGTACTTGAGGTACTTTAAAACCAAAATTAATAAAAAAGAGTAGCTCTAGCTCTTTTACTTCCAATAAATAGGATATGTACGTATAATTTAAATGGAAAACTGTGTTTTTACAAAAGATATTGTTTATTTTATTTCAAATGAAAGTTAGTAACTTACCGGGTGATAATTTCGTAGATCTGACTAAGCACAGTGATTTTGTAAGGAGAGACATATTATTGTTTTAGTAAACACTAAACTGTAATAAGCAATCTTAGTAATATGATATACTTAAACATAAAAATCTATGTTATTAAACGAAGTCCAAAGTCTATATAATTTAAATTTTACATAAATGACTGACACATCATTCAATAAACAAGAAGTTCAAATATGACATTTAATCACAGATTATGGAGAAATAATTTCAAGCATAGACTATGTATAAAAAAAGGTCACATAAAAATGACAGTGACGAGATTCCCGGTAGTAAAGAGGATTGATAGTAAAACAATATTTAATAAAAATTTCAACCAGATCTGAGTTTGCTTTGTCTTATTTTCACCTAAAATAAGTAACCGATTGAAGACAATATTAAGAAAAAAATAAAAATACTATCGCTTGAATGTGTCCAATTCAAACGGTTTTGAGTAATTAGAACATTTTTTTTTTATTTATTATTAATGTTGGGTGTGGTGCCGAGGTCGGCCCTAGCTACGTCGACCAGTTTTGGTCCATTGTAGCTCCCTTTATAGTGAGTTCAAAGTTCTCCGCTTAGTCCTGTTGACTCCAGGAACTTCCAGATTTTCTGAGCGGGGAGCATCTGTATCTCTTCTTACTCGTACTCGTACTTCTGCGGTGCATGAGTGGACCGCACGAGCAGAGGATATGCATAGCAGTTTCCTCTGTCTCATGGCATAGTCTGCACATTGCGGTCTGACTGAGGCCGAGGGTAAACATATGTTTATTGAGTTTGCAGTGACCAGTAAGTATTCTGGTTACTGCACTGGTTTTATACTTGTTGAGTTGAAGCAACTCTTTTGTAAACTTTTTGCGATATCTCTTAATTAGCGCTTTAGAGTGTATTTGTCCAGAAGTGGATTGCCACTCTTGAAGTGCTTGGCGATTGCAGTGAATTTTGAGAAATTGAATAGGCATGTTGTTTTGCAATGCCACAGAATGGTTCTGGGCCACAATCTGGGGTTTCAGCGCCCCTTCTTGCCAATGCATCAGCCTTTTTCATTCCCATCTATGCCTGAGTGACCCGGGACCCATCTGAGGGTGACTCTGTTGGATGTGCCCAGGACATTCAGATTATCCATACAGTCTTTGACCAACTTAGAGTTGGTCTCAAGAAAATCTATAGCCAGAAAGTGCTGCTTGGCTATCTGAGTTGATGTAGATATTTTGGTTTCTAAGCTTCCTCTCCAGGATGACTTCAGCACATTTGTTGATGGCGAAGACCTCGGCTTGGAAGATGGTGGCCTCCTTGCCCAGATTGACACTCATGTCAAATCTAGGCTTAAGGCCATAGATGCCGCACCCTACATCAGATCCTTTCTTGGATCCATCTGTAAACCAAACATGACTGCCCTTTTTTGTGAGACTCTTGGTTTTTTTAGCCACATGTCCCGGTTGGGAAGATCTATTTGGTACTGTTTTGCGAAGTTAAACTCTGTACTCATGCCATCGACTGGCATTTTCAGAGTTTTGTGTTCGAATGTCAACTCCTTGAGTTGTTCATATATTGCGATTGCAACTTTACATTCGATTGTGTACAGAGCCTGTAGAGGCAAGATTTAGCTTCTTTTTTGCACGTGGAGATATAGCGGAGCTATGTCCAACAATGCATTTAGAGCGTCGCCTGGTGCCGAGTGGAAGGCTCCCGTGATGATTAGACATGCCATCCGTTGTATGCTGTCTAGTTTACTCATAGTTGTCTTTTGTTTGGTTTTGTTACACCATACGACTGAGGCGTATGTTATGATCGGCCTTACCACGGCGGTGTACATCCAGAGAGCCATTTTGGGCTTGAGGCCCCACTTGGCTCCAGCCATTCGACAACATATCCAGAGGGCCATTTTGGCTTTTTGTATAATGTTGTTGAGGTGAGAGTTCCAGGTCAACTTTTGATCAATAGTGACTCCAAGGTACTTTAACCTCATTGATAGGTTAAGGGTTTTGCCATTGAGTCTGAGTTCGGTCAGCCTTTCAAGCTTCCTTTTCCTGGTAAATGGTACAATAACTGTTTTATCAGCGTTTATTGATAACTCATTTTCTCTGCACCATCTTGTGATGGTATTGAGAGCTCCTTGTAACCTGGTGGAAATTGTGTTCAGGCAGGGACCTCTTACTACTACAACAAGGTCATCTGCATAGCCCTGTGTATCGTAGTCGAGATCTGCCATGATTACAAGTAGTAGGTCTACAGCTAGTGTCCATAATAGGGGTGAAAGCACTCCTCCTTGCGGACAGCCTCTTGTAGTGGTAGAAGTTGTGCGAGTGTTCGTTTAACGTAACTTTCGCACACCGGTTGGAGAGCATATATTCCACCCATCTGGTGGTTGTGATATCAACACCTTTTGCATTTAATCCTTTCAGGATGGTTGCCGTAGGTGTGTTATCAAAGGCCCCCTCAATGTCCAAAAATGCACATAGAGCTGTCTGCTTATCCTCTAGGGACCTTTCTGCCTTGTCGATCAGAGCTACTAGGCAGATTCTGTGGATTTACCCTTTTGGTAAGCATGTTGGTTGCAGGAAAGTGGTCTAGCCACAAGATACCTTGTTCTAATGTGCTGATCGATTACTTTTTCCATGTTTTTAATAGGAAAGAAGTAAGACTAATAGGTCTAAAGGATTTGGGGCTGAGAGTAGTCGTTTTTACCGATCTTCGGTATAAAGATAACCTTGACCTTAGTCCATTGTTCTGGTATAATGCCCAAAGCAAAGCTTGCTCTAAATAATTTACCAGATGCGGGATAAGGAGTTCCATGCCCTGTTGAAGCAGAGCTGGAAAAATTCCGTCTTCCCCTGCTGATTTAAATGGTTTGAATTTTTTCAAAGCCCATCTAATCTGGTTAGGCCTAAAATTGGTATTGGCCATCTTCCAGTCGCAACTATTTGCCCTGTGGATGTAGTTTTCCTTTGGGTTTGATTCACTGCCGGTGACAGGGTACGATCCTGGGAAATGGGTTGCTCTTAAAAGTTCCAGCGTCTCCATCTCTGTGTCGTGAAGGAATTGTCTCGCTTTTTTAAAAAGCCGAGAAAGATGTGTTTGGTGTCTTGGCAAGGACCTTGTGGATTCTCGCTCCTTTATGTGTTTGGGCGATATTCTCACAGAATCGTTTCCAAGATGCTCTTTTAGCTTTCTGATCTCTTTGTGGTATTTAGTCAGAGCCTTCTTATACCGTTCCCACCCATACGGTGTAGTGGCCTGATTAAATAAGCGACGTGTGGAAACTCTAAGTCGTTCTAGCTTTTTTGTTCCACACGGAGTATTGTTGTTAACCTTAAGTTCCCTGACAGGACAGCTATTTCATAGGCATTTAAGATGCCATCCGTTAATAAGTTGTTTAAAATGTTAAGGGAGTCGGGAGTCTTGATTGATTTTGGAAAATCCTTAGCTGCCTCAGCGAGCAGGTTTTTAAAGTCTACCCACGAGGTGGCTTTGGGATTTCTAAGCCTTTTAGGCTCAGTAGTTATTGAGCCTTGTATGCTAAAGACATATGTTTGTGATCGGACAAAGAGTTTTCATTACTGACATGCATTTACTTATGTGTTTAGCGATTTGTTCAGTAGCAAAAGTGATATCCAGAACTTCCTGCCTAGCTCTAGTAGCGAAGGTTGGATTACAGCCTTTATTAAGTATTTGAAGGTCGTTAGCTAGGAGAAATTCTAAAAGTAAACTCACTCTTTTGTTGGTACCAGTACTTCCCCAGATTGTGTGATGGGCGTTTGCATCGCAGCCAACAATTAGTTCTGTCTTGTGTTTCGAGGCGTAGTCGACGACTTTAGACAGTTCTTCGGTGGAGTTGGCTTTCTCTCCGGGCAGGTAGGGCCGAGCACACAAGTGCTCTAGTTTGAACCACGCCCTCTGAGAACGGTGATTGCAGCAACGGTGTCATCACTGCAAAGTTCTGTAACAGGCAAGAAATTATACCTTTCTTAAAAAACGATACAGGCCCTAGGCTTGGTGCCATTTTCGTTTGCTAGGATCTTACCTACTCCATTTAAGCCCGAAATCTTGGACTTGGCGTTAAGCCATGGTTCCTGGACCAGCGCTATATCCATGCCATTTGCCCTAAAAGTGTTTTCTGCCACGGCTGTGGCAGCGATAGCGTGGTGTAGATTGGCTTGGAGTATTTTAGTGGGGGCATCGCCAGTTGGGTGTGAAGCGCTACTGGGGACGGGCCCCATTGCGCTTGTCACTGCCCTTGCTGGGTCTGGGTCCCTTTTGTTTGCGGGGGCGCTGGCTCTTGCCTCTGGGGGTTTGTCCACCCCTGGTGTGCCCCCCTGTACGAGGAAACCTGTGCGGAGTACCAGTCGCTCCGCTGGTCCCGGCCACAGGAGCCACGCCAGGTGCAGCAGATAGTAAAGGCGCAGCAACGCTGGAGTTTGCTCCAGCAGCTGCGGCCCCAGAACGAGAGGTAGACGGCACAGGTTCAGAGGGAAGTGTCCCAGGATTCGTTGGCGTCTGGTTGATGCCCTTAATACGGAACTGGACCGATTTGAAAGCCAAGTAGGCCTTCATGCCGGTTTTTTGAAGGGTCTCAACAGATTGGTCGTCGATGGAGAGGGTGAGTGTGATTCCGCCCTTCTCTCGCCTTCCTATTGAGAACCTTCCACAGCTCCGTATTAAGGCCATCATTTTGTATCCGGAGACAGAGAGCGCCTTATCAAACGTCTTTGGACTCCGGATCGGGAATGTATACCACCCCACCTTTGGCTTGGGCAAGTTGCTCTCATTAATGAGAGCGAGCTTTAGCTCCTGGCCACGGCTGTAAGGAAGGTATTACATTTCTCAAGCCATTCCCTGGCATGCTGGTTAGCGCAGGTAATGAGTAGCCAACCTGGCTTTGAATGATAGTCCGCCAAAGGCAGGTCCCCTTACCCTTCTCCAAAGTGGTGGATTGGGCCACAATTGCGTTGTAGAGTGACTGCAGCTGTGCGTCAGTCATGGGAGTGGAGTCCCTCACGCCAACTTTGGAGGAAGATAAGCGCGCACTATAGGCAGCT